TTATGCCTTTTATCAATTGTACCCCATGCTTTTCAGTTCACCTCTATATATATATAAAAACATCAACTAGATTCACCTACAAACTTTTTTGTAAAAAGCTTCGCTCAGATATCGATGTAAATCAGTTTTATTTACAAAGCAATGTTTAATAAACTGACTAATAAAAGCACCCCTGCATTTAAAATTAAATATGTATAAAAGTTACACGTACCGCAATTAATTTCACATTTTCCACATTTACACTCCCAAAGTAGTCCTGAACGCGAAAACAAAAGGCATTGTCCTAAATCCTCCCGCAATTCGGAACAAATTTAAAACTGCAGCTTACCCGAATAAGATGCATTCAGAACATTAGTGCCAGCAAAGTGAACAGGAAAGAATTACGCGCATTTATAACGGCCCTGCTTTCGAATAGGGCTACCGCACTTGGAAAAATGCGTAGCTACCTGCTTTTGCCTGAGTCAGGGCTTACACAGAATTTTTTTTTATAGCAAAAAAACAACATTTTACAAAGTTATAACTATACTATAATGAAATACAGATAGTTTAACATAACTAGAATTTGTATATTAATATTTCAAACGGTTTGTAGTCCACGCGTAACACTAACGGTTGCAACGGTTAAAATCCAAATAATGTTATATAAACCTGTTTACCAATTGGCCGCTGCAAAGCATTCGAAACGTCGGACCATAAAAGGACCGTTAAAGCGTTTTAGTTAAATCAAATATTTAAATTAAAATTAGCTAGCTATAAAGAAATAGGAAATCTAAAGCTATACAGTAAAAGAAAATATCATTTTCATTTTAATATATACATACATAGACATTAATAAAATGACAACAGTAACATAATAAGAAACGAAAAATTTCTACACACGAAAAATACTTCTGTCTACACTACTCCATTCACATCCGCATCATGGCATATCTCAAGGATTCCATTTAATATTAGCTAGTTTTTAAAACATGGGAGATCTAAAGTTATAAAAATTAAAGCAAAACTAAAATAAAATTTTACTTTCGGATTAATGTGCATTGAGACGTCTATTTTAATAAAATCACAATCGAAATAAAAGCAAACAAAACAAGTATTTAAAATACAACCAAGCAAGTACCTATTATATATTTATTTATTTTAAATAGTATTATGTATTTTTTTTAATTCGAGATTTATACAAAACATGAAACATTATAGAGAATGTTGCGAGGCAACCCTATTTAAGACCATTTGTTAGAAAACTTCCTTTCTAATGAACGGTCCGATTGAAATATGGGCTAGTTGAAATACCTGGCAATGCTAATTTTCAGTACAGGCTTGCAAATAGAGTAGCGAGATTTTACGAGTATATTCCATGGAAATTCCATGTTAGTTGCCTAAAGTACCTAAGTCTAAGCTTGTACTGTCAGCAAAACAATACATTTAAAGTTATTGAAATAACTTACTCGCATCTCAATAGCGGGGACTATGCTGCAGGTATTCCGTATTATAAACATATCTTTTGTTCATTTTATACTCTAAGAAGTATGAAGTAGAAACCTTTGTTTGGCTTCTGAATGAAATTATTTTAACGCAAGCGATCTTTTGCAAGTAATGCTTGCGTTGTTCTCTGCTATTTATTTTTATTTTTGTGTCTACAAGCTTAGGTTTTTTAATAAAGTAAAATAGTTATCAGTGACTTACTATGAATATATTTGTCACACGAAGTTATCCTTAATTTCTCAGTCTATAATCTGAGTATTAGATTTCGTAGGTCATTTGGGCTGCGAAAAACACGTCATCAACTTTTACGCAATTAAAAGAAATTAAAAATCTAAAATTTAGATTGCAAAAAGAATTCCGGCACAGTTGAACTTGAACCGGCATCCACAGCCTTCCGTGCTACACCATTCCATTTAGCTACCATTTCGCTAAATAAAATTAGCAAGTAAAATAGACACAGAAATATTCCTATGTAAAGAATTAATCAATTCTTTTAAATCTTAACAGTAAAACAGCGTCAGTGCCTAAATACATACTGAGATGAAATATACTTGCTCTATATTAGCAGATGGAACAAGAAGACCGAGAAATAATATGCCCAACCTTTAAAACAATGCCGTAGCCGTTCCGTAGAGATCCCCAACCGATTCAAGGATCGTCCATAATAATATGGGCCACTTCGAATTGTCGTTTCATAGTATTCATATAAAAGATTTATTTGCCACATGCTCCTAAATAGGGTAAGTATGAAATTGGCATTCGGCGGACACGTCTCTTTTTACGCCGCTCGTAAATATGAAATGTACTTGGACATCAAATTCGAAATTGGAACGTTTCAGACACGTGTCAATTGGAATCTAATATCGGTGTTGTTTTCGTATATTCTATTCGCGTGGACGTTCTTGGAATAACTTTAGTTTCGATCTAAGTGCGATTATTATGATTATGTATGACATTTTATATCATAACGTGAAAAAAAATCTATACTAATATATAAAGCTGAAGAGTTTGTTTGTTTATTTGAACGCGCTAATCTCAGAACTACGGGTTCGAATTGAAAAAATATTTTTGTGTTAGTTAGAACATTTATCGAGGAGCCTATATTCATATTTTAAGAATAAATTCTAAAGTAGTAAGCAATTTGTAAGTCTGACACTTTTATATAGGAAATATTGTAAAATTAAGGACTTTGATTGAGGGCGTAAATAAAAGCACAGAAACAATAAAGAAATAGCATCAAGTAAAATCAAATGCAAGTCAGCACGACAACATTGATACCAACCGCAACCGCAAGAGGCTAAAAACATAATCAACATCGTAATTAGCCCTGTCTTCATTGAACTAATTCCTAGAAAGTATATAATTAACGGCTTTATCATTAACAAGCAATCTCCTACAATAGCAAATAATTATGTACTCCACTATTTAATAAACCTTTTTTAACGATAAACATACATACAACTCTATATTTTCACACTTCTATCACCAAACTTTATTTTTTACCACTTGTTTTAGTAATCATACAATCCAACAAAATTATCACTTGGCAAGACCCCCCCCTCCGTCTACCATCATCAATAAATTATGATAAATTTGTAATAATGTGTATGGCAAAAGAACGTTTATCGGGTCATCCAGTTTTAAATAAAAATATTATAAACCGGATTTACAGACATCCTACTGAGATATGGCCGTAATCTTTATAAGGTGATAACATGTGTCACTCAGATAAGGGTCACCTGTTCATTGCAGCTATTACATATAAAATATTTTCATTCCTTTGTGCCATAAATTTCAAACGGTTATCGAGGTCGGTAGTACGGCGGAGCTTAATATGAAATTTCGAGGAAACATTATTTTAAATTAGCTTTAAACCAACTTGATAATCGAATAGAAGAATTCATTAATCGGCTTGTAAGTTTGAATATCGAATACAAACATATAAAACTATATTATTGTTTGTGTCTATGGTATATATAGCAATCTATGACTCAATCAACGAGTCATGGGTACGATCTCGACTGGGTGAAATGCTTAATAAACTTAATGTCTTATAAATTTATATTTGCTCTGAAACATGTTAGACTCTAGAAAGCCGAAAGTTTAATCGAGTTTTGGTTTCAGTCTGTGCATTTTTTTTAAAATGAAACCAAAATTATAGATTAAACAGAAACGGTTCCTTTAAAATCTAAAGTAACGAAAGGGAACATCCAAAACATTTGAACATGTATAAATATTTTTAACATTGCATTATTATAATCGACTTTAAACAAACCTATAATTGTAATTATTACAAAAATGGCAATAAATGGAATAACAAGATCGGAGTGCATTCCTTAGCACATAATGTAAGTGGCTGGCGGATTGTAAACTCTTTTTACGGAGTGCTCACTCTTTCTTGGGATTAGCTACTTCTAGAGCACTACTGCACATCTATTTTCTACACAAAATGAATGCGGACAGGGTCGCATTGAAGCGGTAATTTTAAGGTAGTCGGTGTTAGCTTTACAGTGCTACATAATGGAATAGATATCACTAAAACTAGTTGGTCACGATTGTAAACAGTTACTTACTCGACCTCTTTGGCTTTGGATACTCGATGTTTTATGATTGGTATTGATGATGATTAGATGTTCTAGATTCCATAGCTTGGTTAAATAATAAGTTAATAAATAAAAATCGTATTTCTGGACTGTGTAATCGTAGCCTTCTCGGTTCTTCTCAATATTGTTTTGTATTCTGGTCACGGTAATATCCCATTTACTCCTCCTTGCTATGTTAATTTGTTATTGATTTGTAGTCTGTTAAACCTATTTACTTTGATTTATTCTTAATTCAAATCGAAAGGTAAGATAGATTGTCTTGACTTTTATTTTTAAAGCCTTACCTCATTAGGCTTCAAGTCCGTCCCTGTCGTTGCACGTACTATCTTATCTGTGAGCCACGTTCTAACCGCCCGGAAGACAAAGCGGAACGGATGTATTGAGTAATGTTATGTTTCCTTTCATTTATTGTGTGTGCAGTTGTTGAGATTTTTAATATTTTTCTTCCAGTGTTCAAGAAGTGTGTGATTTTTATCAACATTGTACAGGTGTATCAATAAACTCGACACAATCATTTGTAAAATACAGGTAATCAATTGAAAAGTGTTTTAGATTTAAAGAAACAATTAACTTAATGATTTTTATAAATAATCCAAGGTCTAATGCATTTTCTATTCATACCGGATTTACAAACCTTATTTCTCGAAGAGATCGGTTTTTGGTATCAATCATTGCGGTATAGGTGGTGTTGTGTAAAGAATAGAAGCATGTGAGTTGTTTATTTTAATAAAATAAAAAATCTCAAAATTGAATTAAATAATACTTATTAATTATGGTGTGAATGCGTAATGCACGCCATTACGCATTCACACCATCAGTAAAAGAAAAGGTATTTTACATACAAGATTTTCTGATCTTAAATTTTAATGTTTTACGATCGGTTAGTCGATTAGTTTGTAATTATTAATGTAACTGTCATCTTTTGCAGCGACATATTCTCTTCATTGCTCTTTTAAGACCAGCATAGTAATGGATTACTTGTTCCTGTAAAAAGAAACATTGTTTTATTATATATTGTACATTTTATTATATACTAATTAGTTCGTGCCTCTTTACCATTATTTTAACGAAAGATAGTATTAAATAATGTTACATTTTAGTTTTAAGGCCCAATTTTTGTATCCGTCTTTATGTATCTTTCGTAACTATTATTAAATTATTAAAATAAAACACTTTACCAGTTTAAAACCCGATATATATTAGTTACACTTTTTGAAAATTAGTTTAATTACGGCCCGACATTTGTCTCCGTTAATAAGTTTAACTAATAAGTATAGCGTTTTAAACCGTTAAAGTGTTTTATTTAAATGTGTACTACTCGCGTAAACTACAGAGGGTGAAACAAATGGTTCATCCAAAAAGACAGATATGTATGCAAATCTTATATTAGTTAATGAATTGGGAAACAGGTCTAAATATATCATGTGCTTACCTGCATCAGATTAAAACACATAGCGACAAGTGCCATCCCCAGCATAAGATACAGAGAACAAACAATGAACGATGTCTCAATTCTTGGAGTGTACACTCTTTCGCCAGGAACGAAGTCTCCAAAACCAATGCTGTAGAAACAAGACATTATAATATAGCGCTTTTAAAGCTTGAGTAATTTATTTTTAGCCGCTTCCAAATAATGATTAAATTAATATTCACATAAGACAAACCTGCTGAGCGATATAAAGCAGAAGTAGGCACCATCCAGTTTGTCCCATTTCTCCCATTGACCAAACAACATTGATCCAAACATGAGGTAGCTGAAAAACGAATTAATAAAATAAGAAAAATATAATCATTTCTTATTACTAGAGACAAGCCGAGTACTCGCTTGATACTCGGTACTCGATGTACTCGGCGGGTTTTTAAAACCACTTGAAAAACTACGACATGAGGGCGAGCGGGCGCGAACCTGTTGAGCTAAACCGCTAAGTGAGAATTTGATTGAACTGAATTACTCGGCCGAGTAGTCGGTCGAAAAAAACTTGAACCGAGTAAAACTCGGTACTCGTTACTCGGCAAAAGTGTTACTCGGCGCATCTCTACCTATTACCTACTCCGATATATTTTGAAATATTATTTTAGGTCTACAGAGCTAGACCCTTTATTATGAAGACATAACTAAACATTCAAACTTTACTTTAACGGTTTAAAACACGATATATATTAGTTAAACTTTATCCCAGCCACCCCGTGACCACGGCAGCTGCAAAGCATCCGAAACTTCGACGTAGTTAAAATTATTATCAAAAAAGTTAAACTAATACATATCGCGTTTTAAACCGTTAGTGTTTTATTTAAATGTGTACAACTCGGGTAAACTACAGACAGTATATAACTAAACTTATTGTAAATTCAGTTCTTTGTTTTCACCCTTTTAATATGCACTTTCATAAGTGTACTTTTTTGAAATAGTTTTTGACTTACCCAACCATAAAACTAACACATACGCTGATTGGTACAGTTATGGTCTGAACGTCGAAGGTGACATAGGTGAAGTCACTGGAAACGCTCTCAGCTTGGTGAATAGGTTCAGACCAGCCTCGGACTGGTGGAACTTGAGGGTGTCTGGGTGGTTGCGGTAAAGAAATACTTCGTATGTAGGCTGCTCGCCGTGGATCCTGTCTATGGAAATATTTTGTATAAGATTGTGGCCATATGTTTTTAGATACCTCAAACTTTATAAGTAAAGGTGCTAAATTATAATTTCCACGAAAGGTAAATGTCGTTGGTCGAATGCAGGTAGCAACAGAATGAACACGTTACGTTGTTGGTAATGGCTTGGGATCCCAAATGTTTGTCATTAATGTTTTTTTCGTATATGTTAACAATTTTTTAATGTTTATTAAAGGTAGAGTAGAGATTTCTTCCAACATTTTTTTATGATAGAGAAAGATAGACAAGCATGACGTTCACTTGAAGGAAGGTGAAATACCTCAGCCATATAACATCTAAAAAAGATGCGCTGTCGGCCCATTTTGAATTTAGATATTCGGAAGCTATATAACAGACTTTTGTTCTTTCTTACCGAGGATATCTGCGAGCATCAGGAGGCACGTAAGGTGGGATAACGAAGTCTGGTGTAATCTCCGATTCGGAGTAATCCATCCAGCCTACAGGGCGTTCTATGCTCTCTGCCTCGCTTAATTCTAACTAAAAATAATATAGATTGTTTTAGTAACATGTTACCCAATAAACAAATACACTTTTAGCAGTTTAAAACGCGAAATGTCTTTAGTTAACGCGAGTAGTACACATTTAAATAAAATAGTTTTAACGATCAAGAACGCGTATTGGATTACTTAATTTATTTACTATGTATTTTAACTACTTACTGTCCGACAATTCGACAGATTTGACTTTAAAATTAGGGAGAATTGAGGGTATCTTCATTCCGCCCATAATCGCGGCTGCTGCAAAGTATCCAAAACGTCGAGCCGTAGTTAAAATCATTTATAAATGGGTTATTAGAAACGCGTTTTAAGCCATAAAAACTGTTTTATTTAAATGTATACAACTCGTAAACGTAAACTACATACAATGTTACCCAATTTCCTAAAAAATGTATTCATAACTACCTCCCCCTGGACCCTGAATGATGGAATACCGGAAGTAAACTAGAGCTTTTAATAGCAGCCAGTAATTATCTTCAACACGGCACTTACTTGTGATCTATATTGTACGACTCGTCGCCTGGTAAATCCCGGACAGCCACGGCAAAGACATATAAGCGCGTAGATGCACTTAAACCAGCTCGCAAGTAATTCACCTATCACAATAAAGCTTCTATCATTCTATTTCATTAGTTAAAGAAAGGTCTCTTTAGTTTTCCAAAAGTTTAGAGTAGCAAATAAATTAATGTTTGCATGAGTAAATATTGAAGCAATAAATAGACAGAGTTCGAGTCTGGCATGCCATATATAAAAAAAATAAATTAAAAATACTCACCAACATTACTCAAATATAGGAGGAATAACGGCATTCCTAGAAGAGCATAGAATATTGTGACTATCTTACCCCAACTTGTCCGGGGACTGAGATGGCCGTAACCTAGAGAAAAATAAGAATCAATTAAAAATAGTATGATAGTATTTTTTTTATTATTATTATTTTTAATTATTAACCCGCAGTTCCTGAGATTAGCACGTTCAAGTTCAATTCTTCATTAAGTAAGAATAATTTTTATAAGCCTCCAAAATTATAGATAAAAACAATTAAACAATCTTTTTCTTCTCTTTTACACTCATCTCTTTATAAAGATGATGTAATTGAGTGCCTTAAACTACGAGTTTCTAGTGTACTGCATAATAATGAAGGGTGAAACATCTTAATGTGATTCCAGAATAAGCCACCTCACTTTGGACATTCGGTTTTAAATATGTTTCCCAAGCTCTACCCAAACATTTTCATTTATAATCGTTCAATTAAACTTGTGAATTACAAACAATGCCAATTGATTAACGCAGTACAAAAATAGATTTATGTCTGAGATAACGTGCTGAATGTATGCCGTAAATTATTTTGTTGGCGTCGCGTCAAAGTTCCTCCGACTTTCAGGAGATTGTTTGTTTCGGCCTGGAAGTAACGTTCCTGGGTAACAATATGAATATGATAATTATCTTTGACAACCTTGTGGTTTTACCAACGACAAATTTTACTTAAAACAGATCATTATTTATTTGCATATAATATACTAGTACATACCAATAAAAGTAATAAAAATAAAAAGAAGTGTAGTAGCAGTCACGTTTTAGATACTTTTTTTATTTACCATCTTAATAAATATCTGTCTCAAATGATAGAATTATCTTTTTATATTAATATATATAATTTTATATAATACAAGTGAAGTACCTATAGTGGTAATAACTGTCAAAGAGTAGAGAAATGCAGAAGAAAAACTCCATTGTCTAGATGATCTCCCTCCGTCCCAGCCTCGGTGGACCGCGACTACTATTTTTCTCTGATAGTGCAATAGTTCCCTGCTTATTCTGTAACATAGATACAAATATTTTCAATACGCATGTAAAGGCCTATACCTAGTTCCTGTACCGACAAGTAAGACTTCAGATCTATGGCGATTTTTTAACTCCTGCCCTCCTGTCTTTGAATCGGCTATACAGAATAGTATATTCCCTCATATATCGTAATTGGACGACACGCAACATGGATGTAGGCTGGCGCTTAGTAAGGCCACAAATCTGATGATTTTTGTGTCGTATGTGACGCCAGCTATAGATTCCGGTGTCCAGGTAAATGATTTTCAATAAGGCACCATGGTTAATGACATCCATTTAAGCAATCCCGGACAAGTAGGTTGTACTGCTAAACTGGCCGGGCCAGGTAATCAGGTGTTTAGGATTCGTTTTACGGCAAAGCAGTGACAAAGGTACTTCAGAGGCAAAAAGACATTTCTTATATTACATAGAGGAAACTCGTGTAATTTTTACAATTTAAATACTAATAATAGTTAGTCGTTATAAATAATAGTTAATTAAGATATATTGTAATCTTTTTTTTATATAATGTCGTACTGTCTATATTTTACGCGAGTAGTACACATTTAAATAAAACACTTTAACGGTTTAAAACGCGATATATTAGTTAGGAAGTTAGAGACTCCCCGTAACCACGACTGCTACAAAGCATCCGAAACGTAGGCCCGAAGTTAAAAATCATTTTCAAATATGTTTAACTAATATATAAACATAAGATGTAGTTATAAAAACTATAGATTATTGTTACCAATACACTAATACTCTATAGTCTACATTCTTTGCCCTCACCCCTCTTTCAGAGCTGTATCGTTGAACAAATTGAGCGCCAACGTGACATTTTGCCACAAATATTGAGCAGTGTTGTCTCTTTCCTTCGTCATATTGTTGACTCTTTCCATTTCACTCGCACCTTCTATTGCTTGAAACATAAATGCACCTAAAAAGCAAGCAAACAATTTAATCATAATAATAAATAAAAACAATATAAAACACAAGCACAATTCCTTTAATTTCTTTGTGATAAAATACTAATTGTAACAGAAAACATTAAATGCTCGATTTCGACTGCAATTTCCTTCAATGTTTACATTAAAACTTGGACTCGAGGCAGACATACTAAGATAGCTTACTTAATAGATATTATGATTTCCAGTCTTGATTTAATATCTATACTAATATATAGAGCTGAACAGATTGTTTGTTTATTTGTACTCGCTAATATCAGGAACTACTGGTTCGAATTGAAAATGTTTAGTTGGTTGTTGTAGAGCAATTATCGAGGGAGGCTAGGCTATAAAATATTGCGCTGTGAATAATAGGAGCGAAGAAATAGCGGAAAATGTGGTAAAAACGCGGAAAATTATTCATCTTTGTAGTTTTTGAATGCATACGCTGTGAAAATTGTTCAAGATTGTGTATCTAAAAATATATATGAGAGAATGATTCTTCTTTCAATTATCAAAAAAAAAAATGTCCGCGAAAAAAGATGAACTCGCAAGAACGACGGAAAGCGTCCGATGACGTAGGTAACAGTTTGCAAAAACCATTTTGGATGCCCAAAATAAAAATTTATGCGGACGAAGTCGCTGACACAGCTAGTATGATATACAATTCGCTGCTTTAAACAACTTATATGATGTGAAAATATAATACATAATTTATATTACGAAGATTAGTTTCTTGAAGTTTTGATAAAACGCAATTACTATTTTATTACATTAGTAATTTGATTGAATAACCAATAATTACACAGAACAATGGCTTTCAGTCTTTGTTTTAAAGCATCGACACCTCATTGAATAATTTGAAAGGGTGTTACTCCATTCCGTGTTAATGACTTTCAAACCTATTGTATGGTTAGAGGCAAACGTACGATTTGAGCCTTTAATTTAAAACATATTTCAATTAAAATTTGTCCTTTGTTATTCAAATATGTATAAACTTTGACTTTTATTGTCTCTAAACATAAAAAGTAAAATCGCCTTTCCCCACATGTTGTCCGTTTCCTTGATCAATTTTATGTACTGGTAATTAGTAGTTAATCAGAATACTGCTCCCTGTCGGATCAAAACAATTTACTATTTCCCCGGGATTCGAACGCAGAACCTTTCGCTTAACGCAATGCTAGGCAACGTTTAACCATTTAGCTACAGAGGCGGTCTAAGCATAAAACAATGTAATTTAAAATAAGATATTTGTCCAAACCTTACGATCAACTTTCATTTAGAATGTAAAATCTCTTATTTAAACATCACTTTATTAATTTAAGTGAAAATAACGCACAGATATGTAGAAGGTAATTATACTGCTTACAAGTAGGTATCAATACGAAATTAAGAATATTGTTTTTATATAAATTTATGACTTTAAACACAAGATAGGTTTAACTATCCCCTATATTGTAGGTTCAAATGCACGCATTTCTATTTTAAAGATATTATAATATACCTGCGATCGTATACGCAACGACCAACACCACAACTCCAACATTGCTAAAGAGAAAAGCTAACAAGGCTCGCACGTAACTGCGCACGCGCGATCCCAGCCTGCGCCTGCGTCGAGGCATTATCCACCACACATCGTGGCCCCACGCGCACCATCTAACTCAGCACGAGATTATGCATCTGAAACTAAAACACTTCATTGTTGAAGCCGAATCAAAAGAATTGTAAAACGCATAATTCATGTAAGGAATAAACTGTCAATGGCTGACTACCTCATGCTGTCTCGTTCATATCATCGCTCTGTCTTTATCACAGAGCGTGGTATAACATACACAAATCAGAACAAACTTCATTTGTTAAATTTTGCTTTATTTATTATTTTGATCTGTTAATTGTGAAGTTTATTCTCTTTTCGTGTTAGTGTTATGTAAATTGTTGGGCTCATAAGATCTAATATCCAGTTGAGACAGGACTTATAAATCAATTTACTATTTTAAACATATTTGCTGTTAAATATGTTAAAAATGGTCAATATTTTTTAAGTTGTTGTCCTAAGGTTTAGTATTGAATTGTAATAATTTTGAATATATTTTCGATTTTTAAATTGCATTACTTATTCTAAATCAAAATACATGGCTAGTTATTCCACAAAGTGATATGTAGTTTATTAAGCTGAGAGAAAAATAGAAAAATCGTTCATTTTTATTTCGTAAATTGAGATTAATTCTAATAATAAAAACATATCATAAATTCTTACGTGGTTAAGAGTAGTTTAATAAAGTAAATAAATATTTCAAGTAACTCGAAAAAGCGACCTGGTTTGAATCTACTGGCCAATAAATAGAGGAAATAAATTTCATTTGTATACAGACCTAGCTTGTTCGACGTTGTGCAGGCAGTTTATATAAATTTAAATAAACAGAAGTTCTATCGAGCTGTTTTCACTAACAATGCTTTGAACGTCTGTTCAACGTATTCGTGGATAGGATTTTTCCGAAGAAAACGAATTGCAGTGTGTTTTCTTTGGATCGACGTTTTCTTCATTCTATTGTTTGATCATCTATTTGAAGCAATCATTTGATGCAATGCTTCAAAAACAAAATATAATCTTTCTAATTTTCGAAAAATTACACGAACATTCCTGATTTTCGAACATTTTTCCGTTGAAAAATTAAAATTTTACCAAGATGAATACCAAGAATCGCGATAGCTAGGGAGCTAACATTTTTACAAATGTGCCCTTTGCCGCTATAACAACAAAAACTAGAAACAAAAACAATTATTAAGTATTGTCCGCAGTTCACGCAACTAGTATAGTTTAAAAAGACATTGACGGTTTAAAACGCGAAATATATTTGTTAACTTTTTAATTTATATAACAACGGCCCGATGTTCTAAATGCTTTACAGCCTTAATAACGGGAACACTGAAGATGAAGGGTGTCCCTGATGTAATGGAGATTAAAGCGTTAAAAAAAAATTCATTTGGAAATAAAATATTATTCAAATGGCGCACTATAGAATTAGTCAAAGCACTATGTGTATAGATATACAGTTGTTGGTAGAGACCAATTCGCGATTAGTCGTATGGTTCCACACTCAAAGGACAAAAGCCCTGAGACTTCGCTTCTTCTCGTTGACACTCAAGTTTGTTTCTCGAGAAGGGCGATAGTTCACACTCACATGACTTCATAAAAAAATATTTACATATATTATATGTTTTCAATGTCTAGTCTTCTTTCGTTACGGAAACACTATTTACATCGTGTAATGTTGCATTTGAGTTTTACAAAATTAATTAAAATTGAATTTAAACCTAATATAATTTAAATGAAATGATATGCCATGATATTTTCCAAACCAGGTCACATATGACGTTAAAGAGATGATAATATCCGTTATAAATATGTTAACAGATAGTTAATTATACATTTTAGACAATAATTCATCCGTTTTATTTTTTAATATGAATTCACTAGTCATATTTTATTTCGTATCCGGCGCCCTCTCTGCGATCACTCGTGCCCGTTTTAACATTATGGCTTAGCTGTGCCCGCGAATTCGTCCACGTGAATAATTTTTGGCACTATGTTATTTATTTATGCAAATAACAATTTTGCGGAAAGCATTTTTCAATAAAATAATACACTTTAACGGTTTAAAACGCGACATATTTTAGTTAAACTTGTTGACTTACTTCACAGTCTCCCCGTGACCACGGCTGCTACAAAGCATCCGAAACGTCAGCTAGTTAATAATTAATAATAATTTTCAAACAAGTTTAAGCAAAATATATTGCGTTTTAAGCCGTTGAAGTGTTTTATTTAAATGTAACTACTCGCGTCAACTATATGTATAAAGACAGCATTTTTCAATTCGTTTCATTAGGTCCTGAGATTTGCGCGTTCAAACAAACGAACAAACTTTTCAGCTTTTAATATAAGTATAGATTTATTATTTTCATTTTTTTGATTCAATACGGAGTTTTAAAACATGAGCTTATTTCGTAACTTGAATCTTTATGACCCTCCAAACATATTCTAGAGAATAACTAATGTTTCGTTTGAAAAAAGTTTATATACTAGATTTAATATTGATATACTTTTTAAATCAATCTATTCTATTCAATACTAAATCGCATTTTTATTTCATGCAAAGGTTTGTTTTCCGCCGCAAATCATTTTTATTGTAAGGCGTCTCCGGCCTGTAAATTATAACCTGGAAACAACTGACAATATGTCATGCTTCTAACGACCATTGTTACAATATAATGATGTCATAATAATTTTTATAATTAGAAGTTGTAACTCTGGTATTTTGTTACATTGTATAAATTATACCTATACAAATATTATAGAGCTAATAAGTTTGTTTGTTTGAACGCGTTAATCTCAGGAACTACTGGTTTTAATTGTTTTTTTTTGTATTGATTTGAGAATTTATCTAGGAAGGAATCACGCTGCGACCAAAGAAACAATGGGAAAAGTGAAAAAAATATTCATGTTTATCGGTTTCCCTTGCGTGTACTGCGAAAACGGTTCAGAATACCCAATAATATGTATGAAAGAATGAGTTTTCTTTAAATGATCTAAAAAATGTCCACGATAGTATATGCCTATCTTGTAACATTAACTTGCAGAAACGACGAGGCGCGGATAAAATTGTAGCTAACGCTATCATTTATAAAAACCAGAAGGAGGTTTGCGAAAACTAATTTCGACATCCGATATAACGATTCTAGGCAGACGAAATCTCTGACTCAAATAGTGTTAGTAATATAATTCAAGATTTTGTAAACACTGACCTTCCCAAATGAAATAAAATTACGAAAACTTATATACATCACTAATATATATTCACTATTGTTTACACACATTTAAATAACTAATTCACAAACGATTGAATGAGGATAGATACATGAAAAACAGGTGATTCTATAGACCTACATTTGAGGACTAACGAGACGCAAATGGTTCAAATGTCCAAAGAATACGAATCACGTAGATGTATCAATCTATTTAACTTCTATAAACACACACATACCACGCAGTAGCGGTAGGCATAGAAGTGTGTTTAACTACTTGCCTGACAAGAACCAGTAATACAGCCACTGAATTGTGTCTGCTCTATACATCTGAATGCATAACAAACATGTCAATTCATAGCAAAACCTGAAACTGAAGATTAATGATATTACTTATCGTATACTTGATATTTTAGTGCTGAGTGCGTGGTGTACTTGACCTTAGCTTATACGAAAATGACACAGCAACAGTATTTATTCTATTAAATTTGAGTTGTCTTTGATTTTTTTTAGTTTTATATTTATTTAATCTTAGATTATGTACTTATTTCTGAGTAGAATGTGCGTGATATAAAATAAATAAACACATTATGAACAATCAATACCGTGTTAAGACGTGTTGCGTCTACATCTATTTAATTTTATACTCTTTGACAGTCGTCTTCTAATATTAGTTGCGCGTGCGGCAGGCGGCGTTCTCGTATCAGTTATAGTTTTTATTGTACCACCGTCCGGTGTATTTTGGGAATAATCCTAACTCAGTGCACTTGCTAACAATATCTTTTTAACTCTTTTGTTAAATACCTTTCGTCCCCAATAGATTTAGGGAATACCAATTTGTTCTAGAAACTTAGTTGTCGGCTATAATATTGTAAAACGTATAGGCGGCAACTCCCTAATATTTAAAAGCTTGTATATGATGAAAACGTCAAAGAACAATTAATGCATTATTCAATACCGCAATTGAGAAAGAATGAGACCTATAGTTTTAGTTATTGTTAATTCAAATTAGATGTTAATAAAACAATAAGTCCTTGTATACGTTAAAATAACGCATTCGTTCTCTGTACTGCCATGTACATACTACTTTAAAAACTTGAAAAAGCCAAAAGTCTAACTACTAGTCTAACGTTAACATTATATCTATACTGATATAAACAGCTGAAGAGTTTGTATTTGTCCCTTGCGTACATTGCGAAAACTGGCATATGCGGCATGAAAAAAAAATTAAATTTAAATCGATTTAGATTTTTAAAAATACGTCAATGTTTGTCTGACAATAGTATTCATTTATCTTACACGATTCTTGCGCGACATATCTGTCAGTTCAAACGCTCTTAGTATCAGTTGGCAATAACTTGGAAAATGCAAAACATTGTGACTGCCCAGCTAATCTATGAATACAATAGAAATAAATTTAGTACAATCTGACCATGTAATTTTTAACAGTCTGAAATTTAAGGAAGTAAATTTAAAAGTAAGCAATATAAAAAATCCGTTCTGTAACTTACAAGGAGTAAAATAGTTTTTCTCGTATCAACTACGAAAAAGATGGCGCTAGCGTAGAAGGTTAAACTTTGTCATTAGGACGCCTACCATATGAAGTGTACTAGTAGCTTCTCTTTTTGAGTTTACTAACGTAATTTTAAGTGTAATAGCAAATAAAAAAAGGAATGGAACTTCAACTAAAACTACATGCTACAGAATAAAACTCAATTGAAATTTTATAGCGATTTCATTTTGTAGTGTTTGCATGATCTACATTTTATAATTATCGCGATTACGTTGAAAGCTAATGTTTTTCAACACTCACAATAATTAATAAATATTTTGATAGCGTAGTGTTTTATTACAGCTTTACGTAAAATAATATCAATGATGTATAACTTCAACAAATTATTTATTCCTTTTTTACGTCAGAGGACGGCAGACAGCCAGCTTGGCTTACGTCATAATAACTTACTTCTAATTAAGATGCGAGTTCGAGTTATTTTGTTACTCGATATTCGGAAAACACTTCTCAATTGAAATAAAACACTTTAACGGTTTAAAACACGATATGTATATTAGTTGAAAATTAATTTTACCTACGACCCGTGTCTCTCATGACCACGGCTGCCGGAAAGCATCCGAAACATAGTTAAAATAAATTTCAAAGAAGTTTAATGAATATATATACATATATATATATATATTCTCAATTTACGCTGAGACATCCTATGTAGAAATCCAGACGCTAGGTCAACCCTTTTAAAGAACAGTGGATATTATTCATTGTAAAGTCTGAAGATTTACACTAAGTATCGAGTACTGGTACGATACAATCTACACTAATATGTAAAGCTGAAGAGTTTGTTTGTATGTTTCAACGCACTAACCTGAGGAACTACGGGTTCGAATTAAAAAAATATTTTTGTCTTGGTTAGAGCATTTATCGAGGAAGACGATTTTCGCGGACGAAGTCGCTGGCACAGCTAGTATTTATATATAGATGCATTTTCCATTTTACGAAAATGTTTCAAAACGTGTCGTAAAACGGAGCGGCGGTCGTTAATAGCGGTTTAGTTAAAATTCGTAAACAAGTATAAAAATGTTTCGACAGGTGGAGCTGATGTTGACCCTATCATAATAATCATTCAGGAAACTACAAAATTCTGGGCTTTAGCCAAACTACTGGTCGAGTACCTACAGAGGCCGTAGAATTGTTTACTTACATGAACAGCTCTACTACCAATTTTAAGTATTTCTTTTATGTATATTTAAATCTGTTTAATGTTATTTAAATTATTTTCATTTACATTCATTTCACATTAAAATCTAATGAACTAGATAATAAGTATAAGTTAAATTGGTACCTTGGGAAACACTAAAAATCATTTGATATAGAAAGAACTAGAAACTTACCAACATAAGTTTGCACATGCGTTGTGCAACTGTGGAAATTAAATATTAATGTTTTTAAAAGTAGTTGAAGTTAAATAGTAGTAGTAGATGTTAAAAAATAATTATGAAAATATCTCGAGACATTTTCATAATCGAATGATTTCATTAGTATATCTCATAATCGCCCGCCTCTAGTAAAAGTAAGCTCTACGTCTATAAGAGATGATCCTACAATCGTTTGAGATAATCGATTCTGGCTCTTCATTTTAAAATACAGCGTTTAACGAAACATATATATTCCGTCTGTAAATATTAATTTATTTAACAGATCTAAACTGCTTCTCTGTCAAGATTATCACGAAGCTAATGCTCGCAAATTTATCTCGTGTTAAATCTGGCTAAAACGGTAATTCCGGAATTGATAAATAGTTATACAAATAATCTTACAGTTTCATTAATCTTAGTTTCTTCAAAGGTATATTTAAAAATACATTTAATACAGTCAGCTAAAAGTTACACAGAAATTTTCTAATTTCTGTGTAACTTTTAATTAATAAGAATTTCTAAGTTCTCTTAGAAACTAGAAAATTAGACAATAATACTAATTCTCTTAAGAAAAACCCCTACATTGTTATGATTGCACAGTTTATTCGTTTTTATAGCTAATTTATTTTTAGATAGTAAACAGTATTAATAATATTAATTCCATAGGTGTCATTATCGTTTAGGTAGGTAGGTAGGTTGGTGAACTTATAAATAAATAAATAAATTAATAAGTAGGTATGCTTATGAAATTCTAAGATTTCCATTGAAGGGTTGTTCCTTATTGTCCCTAGCACGACGTCGGCACTCAAACGACGCTAGTATAAGCTGCGTCTCTTCTTATTAATTTAATAATATTTCTACTGCAAACACCTACTATGATTCCGATAATATTTTTTTATTTCTACCTCAATAAAACACTTCTATGTTCTAATTATAATATTTCAGTTTTAATTTACGGTTAATAAAGAATTATTAAAGCTTATGAGTTGTATACTTTAAAGCTTTTTAAACATATTACTAGATGTCACTATTATAATCAGTTTCATCAAATCCATTTGTATTTTTATAATGATGCAACAGCATGGATATTTATTTTTCATTTATATTTGAAAAAAAAACAATAGGTAACATTATGTTTTTAAACAAAATTACTGGCAACGTAGAAGCTAATTGTTTAGTGCGTCATCTCTGCGCGAATGAAAAAACTAATAAGAAGTAACGCAATGTGCCAACAAAAAATTGCCAGAAAAGAATATTTTAGGGCGTTTTTATAAAAAAAGAACATACTGTTAAATAGTCTACTATATTAATTATAAAACGTAAAGTATTACATCGACTTAATGTCAAGTAAGTAGAATTTATTACTAAACAAAAAATAAAATTGAGGCGGTTATTCATATATAAGTCGCTGTTGTGACAGAAAGATAAAAAATCGTGCTTTGTCACGCAAATGAAATTGCGCAAGTCAAGTATTGTCAGTAGTAGCAAGTAAATAAAACACTTTTAAATATTTAAACCACGACCACGTATGCGTTTTATTCCGTTTATAGTATTTAATTTTAATTGTGTTGACAATTGACGCCTAAGGTTTTTCGACCGACGATCCTATCTAGCAACATTATTGACAAATAGCAACGTCAAAATTTCAACCAATAATTGCACGGCGTAAGTAGTTCTCTTTTGCTTTGACGTTTCGTTGGAGTGAACACTTTATTTTTCGGCACAACACGTTTCGTGTCATAAGACTTAAAGTAAGTGCAATTTTATAAAAATAATGTTTAAATATTAAAGCCATTGAAATGTTCTATTTAATTATTCATAGTAGTGTTCCTAGATTTTCTGTATCTCTCAGATTATGTTGGATAAAAAAAGCGGTGTCAACATTTTTACGCGTGTGGTGGTTTAAATATTTTGAAGTGTTTAATAAGTTTTGGTTGAAATTTCAGTGGAACTGGTTAAACTAATTGTGACTTAAATTTATTATAAAGTATCTATTTGTAATTTGCAGAATGCGTTACGTGGCCGCGTATTTGTTAGCTGTTTTGGGCGGCAAGGCGTCCCCAGCTGCCGCCGACATCGAAAAGATCCTCAGCTCAGTTGGTATTGAGGCTGACTCTGAAAAATTAAAGAAGGTTATCTCGCAGCTGGAAGGCAAAACAGTCGATGAACTAATTGCCGAAGGTATGTTCTTGAAATCACCATGTGGCCTAAGACTTGGTTGTCTAGGCAACATTAGACACTATAACATGTATAAATTAAAACAATTTCATATATAACACATGTTACTATGTAAACTAATAAAACCTACTGAACTACATACCTTTATTATATTACTGCTATGTATATCAGTTTTTTCAACTTTCATTTGAAACATGCATGTTATTGTAATAATTGTTTCATGTTAGCCTTCAACACTAGCTCGCTATCTGGCTCTCTCAATATGTTTAAATAATAAAACATAACCTTTACAAGATTGTTATGAACAAAATTTGACACAGTTATAATTTAATTATGAAAGAAAAAAGGATTGAAGGAGGAATGATTTGTGTCTTATAGATACACCAAGGACAATGTTTTGTCAATATCTTATGTCCTTATTATTATTTTCTTTCGGGGACACCTGTGGTAGGACGGGTGATCAGTCCACGTTATCAGCTGACCATTTCACCCATATCCTCCTTGTAGAGGTTTTGGGTCATCCAACTCTCCCCGTGTCCCCTTCAAACCTTCCGGTTTGCTTGCAGAATCTTATTATTTTTTCCATCTCTCTCATCTTATGTCCTTATATGCTTTTTTAACTAATCATCTTTAATTGTTAAGTCAAATGAAGTGATTTTCTTGAAGAAAAGTCTATAATTTATTAATATATATAATATATCAGGTCGTGAGAAGCTTTCCTCAATGCCAGCTGGTGGCGCAGCGCCGGCCGCTGCTGCCTCTGCAGCTCCTGCTGCTGCTGCTGAAGAAAAGAAAGGTATTTTATCTACTAAAGATGTTCTAAATCAAAACTAAGGAAATTGTTACAACCACTCAAATACATTGATCTAGTATTTACTTAATGATGATTAACCAATCACCATCTTTCGACTGAGAAACAGTGCTGTTATTATCTTATAACTGATAATTCTTTTTGGAAAATTATATATTAAGTATAAAAAACAGTTTATTATAATTGACTTTCCATTTACAGAAGAGAAAGAGGCCAAGAAGGAAGAATCTGAATCTGAAGATGAGGACATGGGTTTCGGTCTCTTTGACTAAACATGCGGTATGTATGCTTTGCTGATACTATAATGTGACTTTTGTAATGGGTGGAATTGTCAGCAACTGATATGGACTAATCACCCAGCCTTCTTTCAGTGTCCCTTTGTTTGGCTTTAAACTGATAACTTTAGAATCCATGATGTTTACTGAACTGCTACATATTTACCTGAAATTATACTAGGCAAGGGTGTGTTTATCACCAACTTGAGCAAATAAACTAAATTGATTAATTTTATCAGTTACTTACAAAAAGTTGTTTGGTGTTGTTTGATAAAAATTAAAGATCATTTCTGATTTATCTTGTACTTCAGTACAATATTTATCATTATAATTATTAAAGTTTGTATGATTTTCTATTTGTTACAGATGGCGCAGATAACGCGGTTTTATTCCAAATGTTGGTTATAAGTGTAACATAGCGAGTATGTTTCTATGAAATATAACTTGTTTTACAACACTGGTTTTATTTTTTAATCTGAACATGTTTTGATATTTTTAATAAACCTTAAATGCAATATGATATTTACCAACTTGAGAAATTAATTGTATTTTAGTATTACTTCCATAAAGAAAATTGTTTGTACTGTAATAGTAATATGTGACAATTTGTTTTATAAAAACATTCAATTCAAAACATATTCTAAATAATACAAGCAATATTTAATAAGTTAAAATTTACTTAATTTCTGCTTAAAAAAAGATGAAAGATTGTTTGACCCATTAAAATCTTTAAGAAAATACGTCTTGTATTCAATAGAGTAAATATATTTATTACATATTTGCTCGTAAAGTGGATGTAATTACACCAATTTCAATATCGTAATGTATCTCATTACGTACGTGCGATAATGTAATGTAAAAGTCACGTGTTCTTTTTCTTAACAAAGAGGTTTTATGTCAAGAAAGTGGTCAATATTTTATGAATAAAATATAACAAATGAACATTTAATTTAATTAATTTTGGCAAAAAATTACAACCATTCATCTATAACAATAACACAAAAATATTAATTTATTAGTAATACTGGCTGTTTTTGTACCTTTGCCTAAAATAAAACGTTGATGCGCGCGCATCGCTTATTTGTGGACAAGGAAAAATAATTCCACGGGGTTTTTTCTTTTCGCTGTATTGTTTTTATTTGAAAATGTCGTCATTTCCTCGTAAACATGTTATAAAACGTCGTATGACAACGTTTTATACGCCTCTGCTAGTAATATCGCCTCGGCTGTAATTTTCGACTTACCGCACTTATCATAATGTACTATTATTACCAATTAGTTAATCAGAGAATGTATGTTTCTGTTGATTTAGTTCTTGAGGGACATTCCATTATCAGAAACAAAAATCGACCCTGTTACACCCTTGGCTTTTTCACTGGCCAAAAATAACGCGATTTCGGCAATTTCCTCCGGTTCAGAAACCCTATCTAATGCCGTCTTCAATTTAAAGTTATCCCATGATATAGGTGTACCAGTGTTTTCCAAAATATCGGTGCGAACAGGTCCTGGGCTTATTACGTTCACTCTAACTTTATGAGGCGATAATTCGAGCGCCACGTCCTTTGAGAAATGATTCAAAGCTGCCTTAGAACAGGAATACATCATCAAAACCGGTACCGAAGTGGTTCGCTCCCCGCCGATACTTGAAATGTTAACAATGTTTCCTTTCGTCGCAATAAGATGTGGTGCGGCTAATTTTGTCAAGTGAATGACCGCTCTGAAGTTGACCTTCATAACTTCGTCGTATGCTTTTAGTATGTCACCAACTAACACACTGCCCAGTGTCGAAGTTCCCGCGTTGTTCACTAAAATGTCAATTTTACCGAATTTCTTGATTGTTTCGTCTATAATACGAACTACATCTTCATCGTTTGCTAGTTCCGCTTTGATGACTAGAGGATTGTTACATTTAGCTGCGACTCCGTTTAATTTCGTTTCGTTTCGACCCACCATGACGACTTGTGCCCCTTCATTGCTAAATTTCTCAGCTATGGCGGCGCCGATGCCTGAGCTTGCGCCGGTCACTATTGCAACTTTTTGATTCAAACTCATAGTGCACTAAGCGACGTATATTCTCGGTAACTGTCAACAAAGTACTGAATTTATAATGTACTGGACGACGCGTAAAGACTGTTCCTTATTATCGCGCGCTCATGTTTGCATGTTAGATAATATTTATTCATTTATCTTTAATCCTAGATACATAGCTAAAGGATAATTAGCATTATATTTTTATATAAAATTCTAATCTTGAACAATGACTAGCTTCTAGTTATTGAATGTTTTTAAAATACGCCCTACATAAAAATATAATTTTGAATAGAAATTCCAGTGTTAACAATTTACAAAATTACTTATCTCCACTACTTACTTGATATTGGCTTATCGATCTACGTCCGTACTTACGTACCTAGATTAATTTACAATTTTATTTACCTGACAAGAATAATATCTAGTTAGTACAAATTCCGAACCAGTAACTGAAGTAAAAGGCAAAATTACACAATACTTAAAAGAGAAAAACACATTTTGTTTTAGACGCTATAAGCCTTCTGCGCCTAACTTGTATATTATATTTTATCTATGATGTCTTGCAAATCTATGTAGGTATGTGTACCTTGTTTTATTGTCAATTAGATGTTGTATAAATTCATTTAAATGCATGTGTCACGATCACAGATTTAATTCGATCACCAACATCTGTTGATATACTTGATTGTACGAATTTAAAGACACGTGTGGATTTTTTACGCTCTACGATGCCTCGCGCCATCATTTTGTGCATTCGGCATTCCACACAATCTATGGTTTCACAGGTTAACCTTATTTATTATTATTATTAACCTTTTAATATAAATGCGCAAATACTGTTGCAGTTAGTTTTGCAGTTTATAGAGATTCTACTTGGTGAAAATTTGTTGAAAAATTATGAACATAAACACTAATTACTGTCTATAGTTTACGCGAGTAGTACACAATTAAATAAAACACTTTAACGATTTAAAACGCGATGTATTAGTAACTTATTTGAAAATGATTTTTTTACTTCGGCCCGACGTTTCGGATGCTTTGCAGCAGCCGTGGTCACGGGGAAACTAAAGATGGAGGATGTCTCTGACGTCAAAGTAAAAATTGCTCTACGCTAGCAATTTTTACTTTGCCATCTGTTCCATCGAAGTTGGTATTTGGCGAAACTGGCCGGGTCCTTACAGAATTGACTAACGGTGTCTTCGCGTTTGTCTTCATATATACATATATAACATATATTTATGTTATATATATATAGTTATTATCAGGAAGCTCTTATTTCTGAAACAGTTGAGTGAATACCCGAAACATAAGTAGGTCTTGTGATCTGATATTGTAATAAAAAATATAAAGAGGAAAATCATCGTTTCCTAGTTCCGCTTTGATGACTAGAGGATTGTTACATTTAGCTGCGACTCCGTTTAGTTTCGTTTCGTTTCGACCCACCATGACGACTTGTGCCCCTTCATTGCTAAATTACTCGGCTGTGGCGGCGCCGATGCCTGAGCTTGCGCCGGTCACGATGACATCTTTCTGATTTAAACTCATAATGCACTAAGCAACGTAAATTCTCGGTAACTGTCAACAAAGTACTGAATTTATAATATTGCAAAGTATTACATCGGGGTCATCAGCTACAGAGAGTGCGCTATTAAGAAAACGTTTTGATGTAAGAATATATTTTAATAATTTTAGAAAATTTTTGAAGGCAAGTAAAGGAAGGTTTCTATAAAATACTTATGACGACGCATAAATAAAGGTCTTACTACCAAGCAAGTGCTTATACTCGTCGCACGTTACTTAATATTAATTTATCAGACTAATATGTTTATAATATAAACGCACAAGGATATAACTATTGCACTTTGTATATAATATATACGCAATTCTGAACGTAACTAAATTTATAATAAAATAAATTGGCTACCAGTAAATGTTTACAAGAAGAATAAATATTTGTGTATTTAGTCATGTGTTTTAAAATATATCCGTGATATTACGTCATTCGACATAATATGCCTTATCAATTGATAAAGTGGTTTAATAACGAATATAGATCATATAAGAACAACATATTTATTTTACTATGCGAATAACTTCTATGTAGTTCAAGCCTTAAGGGACCTTCCATTATCAGCTACATAAATGGAGCCTGTTATTCCCTTAGCTTTGTCACAAGCCAAAAACAGAGCGATGTCAGCAATTTCTTCGGGCTCAGAAATTCTATCTAAAGCAGTATTCTTTTTAAAGGTGTCCCATGATGTGGCGATGCCTGCATTTTCTAAAATATCACTGTAAACAGGCCCGGGGCTTATAACATTCACTCTTACTTTATGGGGCGATAATTCCAGCGCTATATCCTTCGAGTAGTGGTTCAAAGCTGCTTTGGAACAGGAGTACATCATCAAATGTGGTATTGCAGTGGTTTGATTTGCGTTTATACTGGAGATATTTACAATGTTTCCTTTCGTCGCAATAAGATGAGGTGCAGCTAATTTAGTTAAGTGGATAACAGCTCTCAAGTTGACCTTCATAACTTCGTCGTACGCTTTTAATATATCCCCAACTAAGACACTGCCCATTGCCGTAGTTCCCGCATTGTTGACTAAAATGTCAATTTTACCAAAATTCTTAATTGTTTCTTCTATAATGCGAACTATATCTTCATCGTTCCTTATTTCTGCTTTGATAACTAGAGGATTGTTACATTTAGCTGCGACTGTATTTAGTTTTGTTTCGTTTCGACCAACCATAACGACTTGTGCCCCTTCATTGCTAAATTTCTCTGCTATGGCGGCGCCGATCCCTGAGCTTGCGCCGGTCACGATGGCAACTTTCTGATTTAAACTCATAGTGCACTACGCGACGCTTATTCCGTTTAACAGGCAAGATGATACTGAATTTAATTTATCATAGCTACGTTAACATGCTAGTTAATTAATTCACCAACGATACAATAGACACACACAAGTAAGAAGGATATTCGCAGTACCTAATTTTGATTGTTACGTTACAGTTAATTTTGTCTTATTTTACCTTAATACCTACGTTTTGAACTTGTCTTATCTTGTCTTTGACTGTATCTAATTCACATTTTTTGATATAACAAAACACCTCTTACTCGCGGTTATTTAAGTAATGAAATATATTTTTATATCTATACCTACTTGCCTACATCATAATATGTAAGCTACTCGGTTCAAATAATTGTGCCTAATTTTTCTTTACACTTTTTTAAGATGATTATTTTTATAATAATATTCGAATTCTCATTGTTTTCATTTACTATACTAATCGCTATTTGAAATTGGTTTTTTATTTGTTCACACATTATGTCATTACAAATTATAGTAAGTAATAAAACTAATTTAAATATATATTTTTTTACATTATCTTTTTTATTGTTGATTCAAAAAATTATTACATTGATATATATTATCGTATATTTATAACAAGATGAATGGGCGAAGTTTAAAAATAAATCAATTCGACGTAATTTTTTATGTATAATCCTAATCTAACCAATGTTCAAAGATGATCACCAGACAACTGTTAAATTAACTTTTATATAAGTAAAATTAAGAAATAAATACTGAAAAGTGACTCTTAATGAAAAATCTCTTTGAGAAAGTTTTTAAACTCAAAATTACAAATATAAGCATAACCTTATTTCTTGCTACCTGGATATCCCATAATATTTTACCATAACTAAATATACATCCCAAAATGTCTTTAGACTTGTTGAATGCCTATAAACATAGGAATCAGTCACGAACAAATATATCGCCCATGATTCGCGCCTAGAACACCAATCAGTCTATATCAAGCTTCTTAAAGGATCCTTCTATACCACCAAAAATATCTGTTATCGTTTTTGGCTTTCCCGGTCTGAGGCTTTCATTTACTCGTTTATTATGTTCGTTTGCGAAATAACTAACGTTTGCCTTCACTTTATTGAGTACGTCATCTGAAAATCAAGAAAGTATTTTGAAGTATATTTTTTTGATAATTGAATTGAAATTAAAGTTAGAGCATAAAATATAGATGGTTAAAAGGAAGGCAAAAGATGTCCATAAAAATAAAAGGATTTACTTGTGGAGCAGAATTTATTGTATACAATAATTTAATATGACGGAAATTAAACCTGAATTATTAATCCAAGTAGAAAATGAATTAAAAATTCACCTTGTACTTAAAAAATCTGGCCTAAGTACTGTCTGTAGTTTAATAATACACTACACTGCACACGCTGAAAATACACATTTAAATAAAACACTGTTAACGGTTCAAAACGCGAATTATATTTCAAACATCGGGCCTTAGTTAAATTGATTAAATTGAAGTCGACATTTTGGACCATTCCTCGTTTCGAACCGTTTCTTAACTAATATATTTCGTTTCGTTTTAAACCCTTAAAAATGTTTCATTAAAAGGTCTGAACTGGTTAAATTAAGCAATATACATAGTACTTACCTCTACACTCTTTCATAGTTTTATATTTTCCCCCGCATTCTTTAGGCAGTCCCTCAACAGGGATGTGCTTTTTAATCGTATCTGACCCAGCCGTATGTACCCCCACGAGGTCCATTAGCTCCTTTTTCATGAAGGGCTTCATCATCATTAACAATTTGTCGATCCAAGATGGTGCATTATTAAAATGGAGGCCCTTCAATCGGACTAACATGGTTTCCTGTAAATATACAATAATTAAACACTATTTATCATTCTCTACTGTCTCTCCGACCCCGGCTACTGCAAAACATTCGAAACGTCGGGCCGTAGTTAAAATAAATTTCAACTAAGTTTAACAAATATATATCGCGTTTTAAACCATTAAACTGTTTTATTAAAATGTGTACTACTCGCGTAAACTACAGACAGTATAAAAACACAAATACTAGAAGGTCTAGGTAAAGAAAATAATTCAATTGAGCTTTGTTTCATTGGGATTTGATCTCAGGAACTCTCACGCTTAACACAACGCTAGACAGACTACAAATTATATTATAGGGTTTAAAATTATAGGCAACCTAATAGTTTCCAATAGACCTAAAGAGAGCTAAATTGCTAAAATAGATTTGTCCTTTTTAAATAAAGCCAGCCACAAAAGATTACATCTTGTTAAAAAAATTGTATCAAGTATTTTGACCACTTAGCGAATGATTAGGAATCGTATTGATTTCTGGTTAAAGGGCAGAATAAACAAAAGTGTGAAATCCCGTTTCCCCTTCGTGGGGCATGGGGCGAACACATTTCTGTGTTCGTTTCACTGATCCATTCTTAACAGGCAAGTATGCTGAATATTTATCCCCGAAATAGGTTTAGTTCACATTTTCGCTAGAATAGATAAGTGATTATTTAATAATGATATCGCTGTACCTGTAAATAGTATAGAAACTGCTGAAGGCTTTGCAGATCGATTCTTGCCAAATGTCCTAAGTTCATCCCTTCAAAATCCACCACTATTATAAATCCAGGCCAGGTTCCTTCCTCATACTGCCATAGATCTATCAGCATCAAAGCTGCTCTGAAAAAAATATATAGTTGTAAAGTCAAGCTATGTTACTGACAGGGCTTAAATACTTAACGTATCGAAAGGCAATGAAGAAACAAAAATAACGTCTAGATTCTACACAAAAATGTTTTCCTTATTTAAAAATTATTTTAACTACGGCCCGACGCTTCGGATGCTCAGCGTCACCCCCCGTGGTTACGGGGAGACTAAAGATGGAGGGTGTCTCTGACGTCAAAGTAAAAATATCATAGCATAGCGCCATGAAAAATCTGATATTTGGCGAAAGTATATCGCCTTTAAAACCGTTAAAGCATTTTATCCGAATGTGTACTACTCGCGTAGCCTATAGACAGTATTTAATGCTTTCATTTAAAATACAACTTAATAAAAATGTATTTTGTATGTGTCAAATGTACATGGGTTTTTAAGGTTCAAGATAAAGTTGGAAGAAGTATACTTATAGCTGTTATTATAAAATTAATAAATTAATTAAACTTACTTTATAGCATCCTGGTATACAAATAGTTTCGGGTCATAGTCCACCAAATGTGTGTAGAATATAGCGTAGCCTTCCTTTGTGCATTCAGGAAGAGGGTGGAGTAAGCTGCAATTATGAAATCAACAAGCTATAAATTGAATAAAATTACGACACGGCATCCACAGCCTTCCGTGCTGTGATTGCCGGCTCTGTGCTCTCTGCCTGTCCTTAGCTGGTAAACACTATGGACAACATTAAATAAAACACTAACGGTTTTAAACGCGATATATATTAGTTAAACTTATTTCAACTACGGCTCGACGCGACGTCTATAAATAATTTTCAAACAAGTTTAACTAATATATATCGCGTTTAAAACCGTTAGTGTTTTATTTAAATGTATAGAACTGGCGTAAACCACAGACAGTATTTAAAAACAACCAATTGAGCTACCGTGTGCTACTCGATATCCTCGAATTTTCGATCGAGTCAACAAGCTCTAAAGTTCATATTTATATTATTGTTGCAGAACTTAACTAAGCGTAATATTTGATTTGAATGCTTATTTCATTTACCTTACCACATTTTTAAGGTGGCTTCAACCGCTTCAAACGTACGATTCCTGAAGAAATTTGTGAAAAGGGTTCTTAATGTGTAATGCAAGTCCAATACTTGTTTCGTGACGCCAGTACTTCTTTCACAGGAATGGTAGGCTAATATGAGATCGAGATCTGAAAATTATATTTAATAGAAACAATTATTTTCCTATAGCATATGATAAAGATGAGCAGTCTTCGAGTTAGCTTGATATATTTTCGTCCAACCCAGACAAATAATAGAAGTAGGTGTTCCAGACCAGGTCATATGTGTTACGTGCTTTAAGCGATGCGAATCAAACCCACAACACCATACTATTAGATCTACATTGCAACCTAGGGCCAATCTAACCCGCTAAACTAAAATACCTCTGTCGCTAATTGATATTATACACTTTTAAGTTTAATTTAACTCTCCTATAATTAATTAGAAAAAATATGATACCAAACTTTATAACTATTAGAGATGGGCCAATACTCGGTTGATACTTGTACTCGGCCGAATAACTCGGTTATACTTTGTTATTTGATAGCGACCATACTTTGTATAAGAAAAGTAATATATTTAGGTGGATATGCTTAAAACAACAGTGTTAATCCAAAAGTATTTATTAGTAATTTAGGAAATCTTTGAAATATTCAATCCAAAAAACTATGCTAATGAATGAGTAGAAAAGAGCCGACGTCTTGACCGGCGCGAACCACTATGTACTTGTTTACACGCGCGAAGTGAGAATTTATTTGAACCGAGTTACTCGGCCGAGTACTAAAAAACCTTGAACCAAGTAAAACTGGGTACTCGTTACTCGGCCCATCTCTAATAACTACTTTGTCCGATATAAGACGATAAGTTTTTAGTTTTGCGGTAATGTACGATAGTTTAATGTCGATCTTGAAGAGTTAAACCAAAGCCCTAGTAAACATAATATATAGGTTTTTTAAATGCACTACTAAAAGATCTAGAAAATATACACTTAAAATAATTATCGCTGTTGTAATTTGCATAATAAGTATATTGCGGTATTATTAGGAGTTTATGTCCTAGAATGATAATAAAAAAACAGCGGATGAAATTGTAAGACAACTGTGCTATTTATGCATACTCTATTATATGGTATTATGTATACGGAAGGCTATTATGGCCTATTATTGCGAGAACCAACATTAACTGTAATACATGAATAATTTTAGTCCCAATGACGAATAACTTCTGATATTATGCTTTTTTTTAATAAACCAACCTATTTTTAGGATTAAACTTAAGAAATAGAAATACGTTTATTCAGAAACAACACAAGACATTAACAAGCATAATATAATAAGAATTACACATCATCAAATACATATAATACACTAGCTGTGCCAGCGACTTCGTCTGCTAAGAATATCTATTTCGGGCATCCAAATTCGTTTTTGCAAACTCCTTCTTTATAAACTTAAGCTGTTACCCACGACGTCGGTGTCGTCCCTTCCCGTCGTTCTTGCACGTTAATCTTAAAAGATAGACATACAGCGTCGCGGACTTTATAAATCAGTTAAAGAGGAATCATTCTTTCATATATATTTTTGGGTACGCCTCGAAAACCCATAAAGATTAATATTTTTTCCATTTTTTTGCATATTTCTCGCTGTATCTTCGCTCCCATTAGTCACAGGGCGATGTTTTATATAATATAGCCTTCCTCAATAAATGCTCTAACACAGAAAGAATTCACTTCGATCCCGTAGTTCCTAAGATTAGCGCGTTCAAACAAACAGACAAACAAACTCTTCAGCTTCATATATCAGTATAGATTAAAAATGCAGTTGGCTCTGAAAAGGCCCCACTCACTTACGTTTTTTTTCAATAGAAATAGATTTTGAATTTATATATACATATATAAATTCAAAATCTATTTCTATTGAAAAAAATGGATACACGCGGGACTTGAACTGCCATTCATCGATGGATCACCGAATCATTTTAAGTAGTTCACCGCAAATATGCCTACATACACAGTTTCTAACAAAAGAACTCGTTTCTGTTGTTATAGAGTAACTGGTAACTGTTGTTACTTTAGTGTTTGCATGTTGTATCACTTAATGAGTAAATGACAAACTCTTTTAATTATACCAACCTCAATAGTTTAATAGCTTAATAATACGATATTATTTCCAATGACATTCGTATGTAAACTTTTTGAGCAACATCTCGACATTTTTCCTTATTTCAGGTTATTTTTAGATAGGTTATCTGACCTCTACTAAAAAGATTACACGAGAGATATTTAAGAGTCGTTGCTTAGGTCTCATTATAATGATTAATGTGAAATAGCTTAATACTTGCTCATTTCTAAATTGTGAATTACATGGGTCGTATAGTAAATTAAATTTTGTCTCGTCATTTTTTTTTAATGTGACTATTTGACTTTTTACGGAAAAACATCTTTGTTAGTGTTACCACTTGACTTCTCAATTTTTTTACTAATTAGTAAGAGATGAGCTAAATATGGTTAGATTCGGTCTAAACAAGAGTTTCCATTCCAACCGAAATGTCGCTGATCTGAAACACTTCTTGGCGTTAAACATATTATGTAGGTATTTAGTGTTAAGTGAAAGGTTTTCTGGATGTTATTAATTCTTGTTATAAATACGAAGTTCATTTCATTTTTCAATGATAATCAGACAGATATTTAGACTAACTTCTATACGATGAACCGCGTTGGCTGGTGCGTTGCGTATTTCTTATAGCAAGCAATGAAAACATTAAGGAATTAGGATTCTATAATAATTAATTATTTATTATATAATATAGGTTATAAAGGGCCTAATTTCATTCAACATATATGACACATATAACGCCTAAATAAATTAGGATGTAGGAATCTTTCTCAATGGAAATTATAATTTAACCTCTTGCTCCGAACTTCGCTTAACCTTGGCTTAACCGAATCCGAAGCTATTTTTGACATTTAGCGTACCTGTAATATACTTCTCCGGCAAATGCGGTTGCGTTTTTAACCACTGCCGCAGTTCCTTTGTATCCTCGGGTGAAATTCCAGTCCTTTTCTTGTATTCCTCCTCTAACGGGAACTGTTGGATTTCACCGGGTGCCATTTTCTGGAACGTTAAACAATCTTATTATAGGAGTAAAAGTATTAGTAATAGTAGTATTCATTAAAAAAACAGTGATTTTTTTGTACTTATGTTAGGGATGCGCGATCTATATACACCTAAAAAAAATTGGAATTTGACGTGAAATTTGACATTGCCTAAGAAACTAAATAATTTGCCTACGTCATTTAATTAATATAATTTTTGGATATTACATAAATCGCTCACAAAAAATCAGGAAATGTTTGAAGCACTTAAACCGTTTAATTCTAATTGATCTCAGTAACAAACATTCATACACGCGATTTCGATTTCGTTTCGTTTCGTTTATATTTATATGGAATCCAAAAACGACTGCAAACCAAAAATATAACGCGATTAAAAACACGTTTTGTTTTGGATAAAAATAGTATTCTGACAAACCTGTCTTAATATTTTACAAGGATTTATTTTAATGTTGCGAGTCAACAATGATGTCGGATAGTGTTTAGTATTTAATAAGTTCTTTACTAAATTAAACGCAACTATGGTTATAAAATATTATGCTATAAAAGGGGTCGTGACTAGTGTACAGCATAAAAATATAATTAAGATACCATTTAAACCTACTACATACATATTATTGTTACATTTTTGAACAAAAAAAAAGTTTAAATACTGTGTATAGTTTACGCGAGTAGCACACATTTAAATAAATCACTTTAACGGTTTAAAACGCGGGCCGAAGTTAAAAATCATTTTCAAATAAGTTTATATATAAAAGAAACTTACTGTTTAAACACTTATTGTTCTAACAGTTTAAAAAACACTCAAAGTCAGATTACGACCACAAACTTAACTTGGCAATTTCCATTAAACTATGCAGTACTTTTATTCAAATATTATTTTAACAAGAAACGAGAAATTAAATGCAAACTCACTCATTTAATTAACAGCTGTATGACATTAAAACTTTTACACGATCAATCTAAACCATATTTCTTCGATGTCGGACACAGAATGAACGCCAAATCTGTCCAGCTTTGCTTCGAGTTATAAAACATATAGCTATACGTAGTACTGTGCTTGTCAGCTTTATAACTTACAAGTATTATTCTAGCAGTTGCTCATAGTCGATAAGATATAACACAGTGCTTGAAAACTTTAATATTTTTCACACGATGGCACTATATAATTAAAAATCGAATATAAATTGAAAAAAATTACGACTCGGGCAGGACTTGAACGTCTTCTTTAGCGTTCCGTGCTGTTGCTCTAACCAATTGAGCTACCGAGTCCTACACCTCATTGTCGAATTTATTCAACCTACTGATACATGTACCATTCTAATTTAAAAAAAGCTAGTAAGACGGGTCTCGAACCATTCACTAACACACTCGTCCACAAAGTTTTAATGAAGTTGCCATCATTGTTTTTTCAATATATTAATACGTGCACCTCTCGCATGATGTAATTTAAGCCGTAATAACGTATTTAGGTTCAATGTTCCATGACCTTAAACGTACAGGAAGTGAAATTACAATTTCTTAACACTTTAATTATTATTATTCAAATAGTAAGTAAATAAATCTATAGTTAGTGTTAAAAGTATTAGGTATATCAATAATGAAAAAAGTGTAATGAAGTCAGAAATTGTCTATTTTTTGAGTGAAATCGCGTTTCCCCGTCGCGGGGTGTGGGGCGAACACATTTCTGTGCCAATTAAATAATAATAATTCTTATAAATTTATACATAAAAGAAAACTTGATTTATGCGATTGTCGTCAGCAATAAAAATGAGTTCCTAAACGTCCCAACCCTCGTTATGTGGTTCTGACAGATGTCAACGTCATACGAACAACTGCCATCCGCCACATATTTTCAAATAATAGGAACATCATTAGAATAACAAGTTAACTTTTATTTTGTTGTTTGGAAACCGGTTAGTAGCTGCCGTAAAGTATTCGAAACGTCGTAGTTAAAAATAAGTTAATATGTTTCGTTTTTTAAGCTGTCATTGATATTTTATTTAAAATAATTATATTGAAAGTAAAATTTATCGCCCTTCTGTAATTTTTATTATGTTCTGAAACTTGTATTGAAATCTTAATACACAAACATTATGGTTACTCACATACGTTGTACGAACGTACAATGTGGTTACTATTTTATTTATTAAATATGAACCACACAGGAGAATTGCGTCAGAGCAGTGAAAACTAAAGAGCTAATTACTATGGTCATTTTATGGTCAGTACTGTGCAGATAATGTAGATAATATTTCGTGTGTTTGAGTCAAAGCAATTTTTTTTTGCTAGCATGAAATGTATGTCTAATCTGTGCTAAGTGTGTAATGCATTTTGTAAAGACGACATCAATGTTTCTATTCCCTATTAGTAATATTCCATAGATAATAAACTCGCGTGTAATAGTTTCCATTTTAATTACTGTTGGCCTTGGGTCATCGGTTACGACTTAATTGCAAATATTCAATTGTTATACCTAATATAGGGTAGATACAAAATGAGAATAACATTTATTTTTATTTTATCATTTAATTCCATTCCATGCATCTTATATTGTTAGTAGGTGGTGTTGAGGCAAAACTTGGTTGAATTTGAAGTGCATATTAGTTTGTATACAAAGGATGTTAAATAGAACTAATGTAATTTTCGTTACTTTAAATTTTTTAAACTTAAAGTAACGTATACTATAAATTTATTTTAGCTTTATCAATTTTAGAGAATAACTTAAAAATGTAGTGGTCGGTTTCGAAAATGGACAACCACGAAATGTATATCTGTATGTTAAATTAGCAGCAAATTTCTCTACGAAAAATCAGTCAATCTCGAGGCTTTTGAACGATCCCTCTATTCCGCCGAAGACATCGGTGATAGTTTTTGGTTTCCCCGGCCTCAGGGATTCATTGACACGTTTTTTGTTCTCGTTTTCGAAGAAGGCTCGGTTTGCTCGTAATTTATTTAGTAAATCATCTGTAAATGAAAACGTTTTACACAACAAAAGAATTAAGAATCTTGTTACCTAGGTTACTTATATATATTACGCCTTTCTTTAAACATATCAAAAACATGATTTTGAAAACGTAAATATTTTTCACGTTATTACACATGATGGCACTATATAACAGAGCAATAGCACGGACGGCTGACAATGTTAGTATAATATGATAAAGTTGATTTTTTTTTCGATTTCAATGCAACACAAGGAATTAGAAAATTCGTAACCACATAGATTGTACCTCTGCATTCTACTGCTGTCTTATAATTTCCACCACGGTCCTTAGGAAGCGCAGCAATAGGGACATATTTATCCACGTCTTTAGAGCCCACTGGGTGTATGTTTGTTAGATCCAGCAATTCCTTCTTCATAAAAAGCTTGAGCATAGACACCACCTTGTCAACCCAAGATGGAGCATTTAATAAATGAAGACCTTTCATTTTTACGCTCATTGTTTCCTGAAAGATATAATATTTATTATAATTAGTATTGACGACAGATAAGTAATACATATTATAAATCAAAAGTGTTTGTTTGAACGTGTTAATCTCAGGAACTACTGGTTCTAGATGATCAAATATTATTCCATTTAATTTGTTTCCGTTGCACTGTTCATCTAGAGAGGCAATAAAATATCAATCATGGCTGCGATCAATAGGACGAAGAAATAGAGTGAAATGAGGAAAAATTGTGAAAAAAAATATGTATCTTTGAAGGTTTACGTTGCGCGTGCTACGAAAACCGTTCAAGATACCTAAAATATGTACAAAATGATTATTGTTTTTTACACAATCTAAAAAAAATTACCGCAACAGTATATCTTTTTTATATCTTTTTTAACTCACATTAAACATTTTTAAGTGAATAAAATTTCGTGGAAATACTAAAAATGGCAAATGATGATTGCCATTTCCAAGTCAGCTAGTGCTTGATAAAATTCTTTATAATAAGCCTGGTTCTACTCATTAAAACTCAGATGTGTTTAGAATCGTCAAGAGACTTAGATTCGCACTCACGAAACTGGATTTATTACCTGAACGTAATAAATGAATTGGTGCAGTGCATGCAAATCAATCCTTGCCAAATGTCCAAGAGTAGCTCCTTTAAAGTCCAAGACCAAGTTAAAACCGGGCCACGTCCCTTCTTCATACTGCCAGAGGTCTATGATCATGAATACTGCTCTGCAAAATACAATTTACAATCGAATTATTATATTTTTATTGCCCACATCAAATTTACAAAAGACATTTAGTTTATGTTTATATTTCAAGTTAAGTCTTTAAACTAAAGTATAGGTGAGTAAATGTTTTTAATGATAAATCAGAACAGACGGCATGGAGTTCACACGATTTTAGGTGATATAACCCAGTCTATAGCTTCTAAACAAGATGCACTGTCGATTTATTTTAGCTTTAGATATTTGGAAATCCACAGACTGAAACCGTCTTGGACTGGTGGTGGTCGAACCCACGACCCATTGATTGTTACCATTAGACTAACGGGTCCGTCGAAAATTTAAAATACAATGTTTTTAATGTGTGAAAGCTTGTACGAGTGTTATATATGTGCAAAGGTTTCATATGGAGGGTGTAAAGGGTGATAACTTACCTTACACTTTCAGTATAACAGTACGCTTTAGGGTCAGTATCGATGACAGAGCAGTAAAGGACGGCATCACCATCTTTAGTTTTCTGAGTCAGCGGGGTAATTAATCTGAAAATTTGTGTTTTAAAATATGCATCTTACATTTACATTTTTTTTTAATTTAGCAAAGTGTTAAAATTAATACGTTAATCTTTAACATTCACTTAAAGTTGATTAGGAATAGCAATGTCTTCTTAAATATAATTTGCTCATCAAATTTTCTGATTGATACAACCTAAATAGATCTTAAACTCGCAATGGACTCAATAAACACTTAACCTAAGCTGTTAGGTCAAAAATTAGTTGTAAATGTTTACGCCCGTCATCCGTGATTACCCCACCCTCGTCTACTTTAAATACCTTTCTTAAAATTGTACAACACTGACTGTGTTCGAACCCAATCTCTATTTAAATATGACAAATAAATATATATAGAACTAGGTACATAAGACAATGATTTGTTGACAACCTACAGGTAATTAATTTTAAGATATTGACTTACATAGCCGTACAAATTTCTTCAATCGATTCAACCGTCCGGTTTTTAAAGAATTGTGTAAATAGGGTTCGTAACGTGTAGTGTAGATCTATAACTTGTTTGGTGACACCACTGCTTCTTTCGCAGGAGTAGTATGAGCAAATCAGGTCTAAGTCTAAAATGAATATAAACATGCGTGTTGAATATAGTAAGTAGCTCGATCCAGATTCGAATCTCGGGAAAAATTCTCGAGAAGCGATATCTTTTTGCATGATAGAGAAGAAAAGACAAGCACCTCACTTCACTTGATGTTAGGTGAAATACTTAAACCATAACATGTGAGCTAGATGCGCCGTCGGCCTATTATGGCTTTGAATATTCGGAAATCCACTGAATCGAAACGAGATTAAACTTCACGGCTATTTTATCTGTGGACGATGATAAGTGACCCGGACGGAATTTCGATATATCCAGGTTTCCAGACGAAGCCCGACATATTGTCGGAAAATCATAAATTGATTAAAAAAAGGTTGAACCCGGGGCGTAATCGAACCCACGACCCACTCACTGTAAATATAATCGATTAGTGAAACGGACCCAGAAATGATTGTTGTGAGGCAAGGGGAGGACCTCCCCACAACAATCCTTTCTGGGTCCGAACAAACATCTTATTTTATTGCTCATAAAAGGACTGTTTGTATTATATTATAAGTTTATAACTAAATAGAGTAATGAAGCCAAGAACTAAATAACGTTTTGTAATGCGTTGTAAATAAAAGCATCTAAATCTAATTACCTGTGATATACTTTTCAGGCAGATGCGGTTGTGTTTTCAGCCATTGTCGCAATTCCTTTATGTCATCAGGAGTTACACCAGTGTTTTTCTTGTACTCTTCTTCCAAGGGGAACTGCTCTACTTCAGCCATGTTCTAAAACAAGTTACTGAATACTATAATAGTTTGATTACGATACTATCTAACACTTAAACATGTTTAATTGTCAACTTATACAATGTATCTTGTACAATCTTGTTAAGATGCATATTTAAATAAAACACTTTGAACGGTTTAATACGCGAATAATATTAATTAAAACCTATTTACAAATTATTTAAACTACGCCCCGACATTGTGGATGCTTTGCAGCAGCCGTGATCACGAAATAAGTTTAAGTTTCACGTTTTAAACTGTTTAAACTTTTAATAGTATCATACAATATACCTACAACAATATAACGATATCGATTCAACGTACTCATTTATATTTAAGAAAATAAATAATGTGTATTTCAAATATTTTAGTTAATTTATTATAAAACATAAATAGGTGATAGGTACTTACTTGCATTGTTCTATCACAAACCTACATATATATATATTATAAAACAATGAGCAACACTACCGATACAACAATCATTTTGACGGCCTTTATATCGCAACGAAAATTCTGTAAAATTAAGACAACTTAGTGAACTTAATAATCAAATGATAAGATTTGAGATACAAGAAACGGTACATATATGATACTAAATTTAGAAAAAACACAATTAAATTATATTTTCCTCACAATATAATATTTGACAGTGGCTAATGACGCTCGTAAACTTTCCGCTTGCTGATTTTATTTAAATGTCACTTAGGTTCTTACTCTTGAGTAAAAAAACTTCCTTATCGCGTATTATATAACCTATTTAGGTTACATTGGACGTTTTTCTTGACCTTCATATAGCCTCTGTTTACTAATAAAATTGACTATTACTTCTTGTTAAATGCCAATGATTAAATAAAGTATACGTATATAATGTTTTGATAACTTACACATATAAGTTACTATATCCGCGTGGAATAGTTAGTTTGGGCATCATTGTTTTTTTGGAAACCTTATCTTTAAAATTTACTATCTGCGTCAGCGACATCGTCCGCGTGGAATAGTTATTTTGGGCATCCAAATTTGTTCTTTGTCAACCTATTCTTCCTTTTTATAAATTTAAACCCACGACATCGGTCGCGTCCCGTCGTTCTTGCAAATTAATCTTAAAGGATAGACATATAGTGTCTTGGAGATTTTTTAGAACATATAAAGAGGAATAATTCTACTTATTTTTTGCTTGAAGCGTTTAGTACGCATCAGAAACCCAGATGTGTTCGACGTTGGTCTCTTCACATTTCTAGCCGTTTCTTCGCTCCTATTAGTGACAGCGCGCGTGCTTTATAGCCTATATATAGCTTTCAAACCTGACATTATTGTAAGATAACATTTTTGCAACCAGGGGTTCTGAGAAAAATGCGTTCAAAAAAACTCTTCAGCTTTATATATTAGTATAGATTGCTGTTACCCACGACGTTGGTCGCGACCCGACATACTGCAGATAGACAATACTGTCGCGGATATTTTTTAATAATTTATAGAGGTATCATTCTATCACAAATATTTTTTGGGTATCTTGAACCGTCTTCTCAACGCACGCATCCGATGACGGCAAAAAAGGAATAATTTCCCCCATTTTTTCCACATTTACCACTATTTCTTCGCTCCTGTGTGATGCATGCTCGCAGTGTGATGTTTACAGCCTAAAGCCTCCCTCGATAAATTCACTAACCAACACAAACATATTTTTTATAATTCAATCCTGTAGTTCCTAAGATTGGCGTGTTCAATAAAACAAACAAACAAATAGTAATTAAAAACTATTCTAAGTAAGTAATAACAATTAGTATAGATAATAATTATAAAAGCAGAATCTTTCTATGTTTGTAATTATTATAATATTAAAAAAAACATAAAGAGTTAATATTTTAATATTAATCAAGCAAGTATCGGAGAAATTAATGTATAAAACAGTCTAAAAGGAGTATTAATCGATATCAAGTTTTTTAAAAGAACCTTCAACACCGCCAAACATATTGGAATAATTCTTTGGTTTTCCTGGTCTTAATGATTCGACCACTCTCTTCTTGTTCTCTGCTTCGAAGAACGAACTGCTTGAATGCAACTTCTTGATAACTTCGTCTGTTAAACAAAAGACTGTTATAGTAGATAATATATGGTTGCTAGAGGCAGACTGGCCTAATAACAAAAAAAAATGATTTTCAATAAGTAGGAAAATTAAAATGCGCGATTAATTATATTGCGCGAGAGGTGCATGTGTCAATAAGTTGAAAAAAATCGACGATGAGGTGTATGTGATGTGATGCCGGTTTAAGTCCTGCCCGAGACCTAAATGTTACCAATTTATTTTCGATTTTTAAATGCGCAATTAACATAGGCGAAAATGAATTTGTGCTAATATTTGTGTAAAAAGTACGTTAACTATGTACTCTTGTAGATTAACATTTTTAGACTATGAAAATATAAATTCAAGCCATAAAATTGCAGTTTGAGCTACTCAGCCTCTAGCTGCATTAAATTACACAAATAAGTATCATTTCATCATTAGTAAATTAGTTCTTAATAGACCGGTTTGACTTCTTAGATTTCCATTTTAATAGTAATAACCGGTATGACTTATAGTTAAACGTAATTTTTGTAAATACGCGATTTTTTCAGTATATTATATGAGTTTTGTTTCATTATTTAACTTACAGTTTTGACGGTTTCATTGGTATAATTGTAGCAATGTTCAATAATAATCAACGAAGCGTGGGTTCGATCCCCACCTGGTCCGATATGTTTCTTATCAATTTATAAGTTTTCTGGAACATGTTGGAGTTTGTAGGTATTGCAGGAGCCATGAAATTGCCGTGAAAAATGTTAAAACACGTGTCTGTGGATTTCCGAATATCCAAAGCCATCATATGTCAACAGCGAATCTTGTAGATAGGCTGGGGCATTTCATCTATAAAGAATACCATGTCTGTCTATCCTCCTTTATCATATTAAAAAATCTACCGTTCAACTCCTTAACAGTTTTATAATGTCCACCAACATCCTTGGGGAACACCTCCAAGGGTATATTCTTCACAATATTTTTAAACCCATCAGAATAGACCTCCACAATATTTAATATCTCATTGTTAATGAATGGTCTCATGATGCTCAGGAGGCGGTCAAAAAAAGAAGGAGCGTTCACCAAGTGTAGTTTCTTTAACTTTAGAGGTATTGCTTCCTAAAAAAAAAATTACAAGATTACCATTATCTGGGCTGATAGCAGTGAGATACAGCCATAGTAATTATTACTTGTACTTATGTCGCTCAAAAGAGGTGATTCGAAGATGTCTTAGGAAGTGCAATAAATAATAATGATTAACAAATACGTGAGTTTAAAAAGATATCATTCAATAACATGCTATTGTGGACATCAATTGAACAGGTGAAGGTACACTGTCAGAAGGCCATTCTTCTTTTGCATAGTATGTAAGTTTACTTAGGCTAAACAGCACACAACAGATAAAAAGGCGTGAAGCTCGCGATTCGATTTCAGTCTGTGTATAGTGTCTCTTGTAGAGATGTTATATGGTTTGGGTATTACACCTTCTATCAAGTGCATGCTTATCTGTCCTTCTCTATCATAAACAAAACACACTGAGAAGAGAAAAGAGTAAAGCGTGGTTAAACTAACCTGTAAATAATGTAAGATCTGTTGTACATTCCGTATGTCTATTTTAGGCATGTGTCCTATACCGTACCCCTTGAAGTTTAACACTACTTCCAAACCCGACCATGATCCTGTCTCGTATTGCCAAAGGTCAATGCACATTAGAAGAGCTCTGAATAGTAAAATTCATAATTATGATATTAAATCATACGCAAAAAAAACATCCGACTTCAAAATACAATTGGCGAGTTCCTTGCTCCAATGGTAGCAATGTACGGCTAATTAGAATTTGAGTCGTGGGTTCGACCCCCACTAAGGCCTATATATAATTTGTTTCTAATCACTTAAAAGTTTTATGAAACTTGTTTGATTTCCTCAGGGAGTCTAGATATCAAAATGGGTGCTAAGTATATCGAAATTCTGTCTGTGTCATGGGCCGCCGTCCGCAGATGAAAAAGCCGTGAAGTTTAATCGCGTTTCGGTATCAACCTGTGTTTCTGAATATCCAAAGCCAAAACCGGTTGAAAGCGCATTTTGTTAGGGTGTTATATAGCTGGATAATTTCACCTTCCATCTAGTGAATCTAGTGGGTCTGTCCTTATCTATCATTAAAAGAAAACGTTCCTTGCGAAGGGCATGCGATAGACACATTTCCATGGCTCTTTACAAGTAGTAATATACCAGTAGATACCTAATTTTTATAACATTGTATGTCCTACCCAACCGAAACAAATTGTTTACTTTCTTTCCTATATAACTTAGTTTATTATTAATAATTCAACAACAATTTTGTCTCTGGGCCTAGCTATAGAATCTCTTGGTTATTGGGTTCTAGTCCTTTTTTTGTCCAAAAATAGAATAGATAATGAATATAAATGCTTAGAGGGATACAGGTAATAAGTATCTTATGGGAAGAAAAATTTAGTCAAAATTTGAATCTACCTGATGTTATTCTCAACATTAAATTCATTTGGGTCACTATTTAAAACCTGACTGTATAACACGACATTCCCATCTTGTGTCTGGTGGGGGAGGGGAACAAACAACCTGTAATAAATAAAAACAATATAATTATTAACAATCATAATTAAATGTCAATCAGGAAACGTGAAAAAGAATATGTGTATGTGCCATGTTTAATTCGTTAACTTACGTATTCTCAAAAGTTCTCTCCATAGTTCGGTCAAATTTGCGATCCTTAAAGTAAGCTGTGAATAGGGTTCTTAGGGAGAAATTGAGATCCAGGCCCTGTTTGGTTACTTCCATACTTTTGTTGCAACTGTGATATGCAAGTGCTATATCAAGATCTGCAAATATTTTCTTATTAACTAGATGTTCCCGGAATTCGTCCGCATGAAATGATATGTTTTATTTTTGCAAGCAACTTCCTCAGCTTTATAAAAAAACCCATGACGTATGCTATCGCGTACAAGTTTTAGATCATTAAAGAAAAAACAATTTTTCATATATATTTTTTGGTTTCTTAAAACCGTTTTCGCAGCGCACACAACGGAAGAAACAAAGATGAATAATGTTGCCCATTTTTTACGCATTTTCATCAAGTTCTTGGCTCCTTTTGATCGCAGCCTGATGTTTTATAGCCGAACGCCTTCCTTATTAAATAATCCAACCAACAAAAACAGTTTTTTTATTCGAAACAGTAGTTCCTAAGATAAGCGTTTTGAACAAACAAACTCATGCTCAGCTCAGCAACTCAAACTCTGCTTTATGAGTATAGAATTAAGCAGTCTATTGGCAAATGCGTGAAATTATAGAGATTATTTTTTGTTTCTGGTACTCAAATGTTCTTGTGACTTCGCTTAGTGCTGACAGTAAGGAAATACAAAATTAACCTGTGATAAACTCTTCTGGAAGATGCGGCTGTGTCTTCAACCATGAACGCAATTTGGCAACATCGTCTGACGTAGCGGTTCCTTTCTTGTATTCCTCGTGGACTGGAAACTCTTTCACTTCAACCATTGTGTAAACACTATAAACAAAAACAAATAAATGAGAATTTAGGAGTGGAGTGGCTGGTAACAGTCAATAATATGAAACCAGGATAGTTCTAGAATGTTAATTCTGTACGTGCACGAATATAACTGTTCATGAATTAACTATGAAGGCACCTACAATACAAAAATGAACAACATAATATATTCATATAGGAAAAATTTGATGACAAGAGCGAAACTCGAAACTGGATCCGCCCCACACACACAGTTTTAATTGCTGCATACTTCAATTAATTTTTCATTTTAACATGAGCAGAATTAATAATATTATTAATTAATTTTGTACTAACTATTATAATAAAAATAATAAACTCTTTAATTGGCATTCATTTTGTACAATCATTAGATGTAGTAAAAATAAATGTAATTACAATAAAATAATAATAAAAGTAAAATAATAATACTACGACAAGATTAAATTAAATTTTATTAAAAATGATGCCAAAAGGGTCTTGCGTCACCATAAGGTTGCAGCACGGTTATGACAACACTGAGCAACCCTTATAACTTGTAAACGGACCTTAACTTACATCAATACCCACTTATACTTATTAGGTAAGCAATAAGAGTTAAAACAACTTACCTAAAAAACAAACCTTAACCTACCAGAGATTGCGCGAAGACTAAAAACGTTTATCGTTATCCACTGTGTATATATCATTGACGCATTGATAAGGTGCAATGGAATTGATAAAACAATATCGGTCAAAGTATAGCCGAATTTTAAAAAAATGACCTCTGTATTAAATCTAGTAGGTACATTTTGTAATAATATTTCGGATATTTTAACACGGGCCACATAACAATGTATCCTTGAACGTGGATTTGTAAAAAAAATCTCTACAAAAACTTATTAAAATTATTTTTTCGTGTAGATAACTGTACAATTATGAACGATTAGAATTTCAGCACTACCAATTCTCAAATTAACTATGAATTTAAATTGAACAGTTGAAGTAATGCATCAAAATTTCTGAACTTTCCTTTGCTTAACGAAAACCAAATATATTGTTCTAATAATAGTTTATCAAGAATTGAGCTAAATCTATCTTAATATATTTTTTCAACATATAATACGCAGTAGGCCCCATCTCTATTACTTTTATGACGTCTGATGGAGAAAAAATTGGCAAACCTCAGATAATTGATGTAATTCTAACCCATTCGAAGTTACGCAGTGTTGACCACTAAACATTAAGACCTTGCGCAGATCTCATTTTCAATGATAGATTAAACTATAGTAATATTATAAAGCTGAAGAGTTTTTTTGTTTGTTTGTTAAATAGAGAGAAATAAAACATCACGCTGCGATCAACAAGAGCGAAGAAACAGTGGGAAATGTGGATAAACGGTAAAAATTAGGGGCAAGGATTCCGTTGCGAGCGCTGCAAAAAAAATACGGTACCCGTCGTCAAACGATACAGGTTTTATTTACGCGGTTATATACCATATAAAAAAGAGACACTAGCAATAGGATTACCTTTAGCAAAACTTATGCCCTACACGGGCCGTTATTGTGGCATTGAGATGTGTTGTCAACCTTTGTTTGAATGGCGTTAATTGAATTTAGAAGTTTTTTATTTAATATTCAATTAAATGTGCATCGAGACCACATATCGTTTCTCTACAGAATTGCAATAATCTTATCAATAAACAATACAATTCTACAAATTGATAACCTTTTATAGTAAACTGGCTCTCCCCCGCGGCGTTACTCGAGTTAACGGATGTTAGAGGTATATGTGGTAACATTTGTAATAAATAACTATAATCATTATTTGAAACTAGAAAGAATAAAGGGGTCGTTTTTTATAAACGTAGCGTTTAAAACAATATTTACTTAACTTGTATGAAAATTATTTTTAACTACGGCCCGACGTTTCGGACGCTTTGCAGCAGCAGTGTTCACGGGGAGACATAGCTTATCGCGTTTTAAACCGATTAAATTGTTTTTATTAACGAGTATAACATTTTACATTCTTTTTTTATTTCACAATTCCTATTCCACAAGTAATTAAAAGCTCTATAAATAATTTTTAAACGATTTTTAAAAATTTCTATTCCTTTTTCCACAGTGGGATATTATGCGTACGTAAATAGATTATCTCTGAAATAATAATTTCTGATTAATGAACTAAACTCCACTTAATAATTGTAAATGATTACTTGAACTGAACTTTGTTACAAAAAATAACTTGCGCAATATGTCGAATAGGACTTACTAAATATCGCAACTATAAGGATAACCTAAAGTATAGTAATTTAACTTCACAACGGCTCTTAATAAAAAATGATTTGTACAGAATCGTATTGAAGGCTGGCTCAGTAACTAACAATATCTACATATACATCTTATTGTGATAGTTATTAAACAATAAAGCAATTAATAAGTAGGTATATTGTTCATCAGGTCACTTTATTTTAATTATTAATTTTAATCAATCGAATCCAATAACAATCTTATCATTGCATATTTTTTTGGTCACATTGTATTGCTATATTTTTTATTGTTAACCTCGAATGCATTATCACAAAATGTTTGGAATTGAGGATTTTCGTTGACGCTTCAACCATCGAGTTTCTTCAATCTTAAGGTCTAGTAATATATTAGACATCTTCTTTATCAATTTTGACATATCATTCTATCATTTGGCCCGGCGCCGTATTTGGGCCCTCGTTATCATGATCCGCAATCAAGCATCACTAGACTTTGGATTTAATTTATACATTTAAATATATACATGTTTAGTACTGTCTATAGTTTACGCGAGTAGTACACATTTAAATAATATGTCGCTAATATATTGCGTTTTAAACGTTAACGGTTTAAAACGCGATATATTAGTTAAACTTATTTGAAAATAATATTTAACTTCGGCCCGACGTTTCGGATGCTTTGCAGCAGCCGTGGTCACGGGGAGACGAAGTTAAAAATCACTTTCAAATAAGTTTCACTAATATATCGCGTTTTAAACCGTTGAAGCGTTTTATTTAAATGCATATTTAGTACTTATTCAAATAATACATAGATACGTAATTTTGTAGTTACGCATAGATCAACATTATTTATTATGTACTAATGATGTGTGCGTAACGTCAATATTTGATATAGTCGTTTTTGTTGAACAAACAATAACTTACTTACTTACTTACTCCGCTGGCGAGCGACCCAGTGGGTCTTGGCCTTCACAACAAGAGAACGCCACTTCCGCCGTCCTGGTCACGGTTCGCCACTGGAGACACGAGTTCCACCAGGTCAAGCTCAACGGCGTCTTTCCAGGGTATTTGGGCCGGCCACGGGTCGGCGGCCTTCGGGATTCCGAGATACGCCTTCTTGACCTTCGGTGCTCTTCCATTCTTTGACTGGCCTCAGCGGAGTCTTTGAGCTGAGCTTCTCCCATGATGTTAGGGGCGGCAAACAGCTTTTCGATCTCCTCGTTCTTTCGCGGCCGCCAGTACCGTCTTCCTTCTGTGTCGGTCCCAGAATCTTCCGCAGTATTTTGCGTTCTGTCACTAAAGCTTTTCCTCATCTTTGGTGTTAGCTCCACGTTTGCAGCCGTATAGAAGATCGGTCTAATGACTGTTTTATAAATCTTTATCTTGTATCCTGTCACAATTTAGACACTAACACCTTGTGGAGAGCCGCACTACAACGGAGGGCGTTTTGAATTGATTCTATTTCCTCAGCCCGTTATTTGTTCCGTTATAGTGATCCGAGGTACTTAAATTTAGCGGGCCTTTAACTTCTATCTCCATTCGAAGATATCGCTTGTTGTATTTTTATAGCCTTCATGTGAGAATCAGTTTTCTATTTTCTGAGACCTATTCTTGCAGTTGGTGGCGAGATTTGTGAGACAGTCCACCTCTCGTTTCGTTTGCCCTAGAGGGCCAAGTCATCCGCATATCCAATTACCTTATGTGTCGTTATCCGCACACCTATGTCGAGTGCCATTACTTTGGAATGAATTTCTATCAAGATTAAACAGCATTGGTTAGGATCTCCTTGTTTAGCCCGGTTACCACGTCGAACTCTTCTGTTAATCCCCCTCTATCCTGACGCGCTCCTACTGGTTTTTGTAGCAACTTTCATAGAGTAATGATTTTTCGGGGATTCTAAATCGACTAGTATGGAATAAAGCGATTCTCTATCATGCTGTCGTAGCTTTGAAAAATCGACAAAGTAGTGTATACCCTGAGGTACTCCCATTTTTTTCCATATCTTAGAAGAAAAATTTGTCAACTGTTGCGATTTCCTCTAAACCCACATGATAATCACCTATATTTTTCCCATAGGTTATCATCCAGAGTATGTAAGATAACACTTTATACGCTGTGGTAAGGGCTATCCCTCGGTATTAGCGCAAGTCTTTTTGCAGCCTTTTTTGTGGACGGGGCAAATAACTACATTCCATTCCTGTGGCTTCTTTCCATTGACCAAACCTTGGAGAACTGGAAGAGTACTAGTTGTATGGTATCGCCGCCATATTTCCAAACTTCGCGGGTATACCGTCTTGAGGAGCTTTACCATTCTTTGCCTCCTTATCCTTTGTTCCTCTTGAAGTTAGGGCAGGTACCCCTTCTACTCTTTCGGTGAATGAAATTGGGCTCTTCGGTTTAGGGCAATTTAATAGTGCCTGGAAGTACTTCAGCCAAGTTTTTTTCACCTCTGTCGTGTCACTAACAAGGTTTCCATCATCGTCGAGCAGTGACTGAGTGAGGGTTGGTAGCCTTTCTTAACTGAACGGACTTCTCGGAAGAACTTAGCTTTTGGCTCTCATAGCTTCCATGTTTGTGATGATATCCTCCAACTGTTTTCGCTTGGCTCTTCGGATCGTTCTCTTTGCTTGCAGTTCACTGGTCATAATCTCTCCATGTCGGATTTTGTTAGGTAAGGTACGTTTGTTCCTCCACTATTTTTTCGCACTCCTCTGTCCACCATTTTCTCTCCCTGCCGTTTTCTTTTCCCGATAATTTCAGACCTACTTCTTTTTGACTTTTTGTTTTCCAGAGATCTTCTATCTCGATTTCATCAACACTAAGTCCACTAAACTTTCTGACCTCCATCTGAAATTGGTCGGATACTTTTGGGTTTCAGTCTCGATCTTTGATGCCGAAAGACTGAACAAACAATAAAAGGGTATATTTTTAAATCTATGTTTCTATCAAATAGAAGCTATAGTTCGTGTTAATCTACCAGTGTAGATCTAATTGATCTAGATGACGCTAAGATAAGCGGAAACTAAAAGGATTCAAATGCAGTCCGAGTTAATACCAACCCTAATTGTTGAGTGATTCAACACCACAGTTCCAGAGAATATGTACTAAATATAAGTACGTCAGCGAACGATACACTGCAGGGTAAATATATTTTGAATTATTAACGTTACGTAACTCAGTAATGTTATTTGGACGATTTACTCGATCTAGCCCCCCACGTTAGAACTCACGCTGAACCCTACTTCAAACGAACTTAACACCGCGATTCTCAAAAAACAAATGAATTTATCACATCGTCATTGTTTACCAGTTTTTTTTAATCTTGGTATAATTTATGACAAATACCAGTACCAGTAGTAATTTATGAGAAATTAAAATCAAATATTGAAAAAAATCGACAACACAGGCAGTACTCGAACTTGCTTCAGTCTGGTTGATTAATCTTCACAGTATAATTAAAACAGTAGGTAATATCTGTGTAATCCACATCTCATCTTAGCACTATTTGGGAGTGATGTTAGAATTATCTCGTTTTGATATCAAGTCTGAATAAATAAAGCAATTCTTTATGCCTTATATATCAAACAACATGCCATGATTTGCTGCAATATATATCATATAAATCATGTAATGATGTTGGACTCTCTCTTGAACTCTACTATTTTTTTTTTTTGGGTCCCAGTGGGGGATTTTTTTTTCCTTTGGTTTTTGGGAAAGGAACTAATTGTGATTTAAATGGTAAATAGTTAATATATGTACTTGTGTAATGAATGCATCCCTTACTCCTATCTGGTGGTTTTTACAGTTCATTTGTCTCATTAAATAAAACGCTTTAACTGTTTAAAACGCGATATATTTTAGTTTCATTGGTCACGGGGAGATATTACTTCAAGATGACTTTCGGCTTAGAAAGTACCTTTAAAATAGTCTTCAGCACGTCACGCCTACTTGGTTTTGCACCCATGAGGTTTTCGGATACGCCCCGTGTTTCAAAAGTCTT